CCCACTCCACATAAGATTTAATCCCCATTTTTTTTCTTTTTTTTTCTTTTTGGGTCACACCCAGCGATGCTCAGGGGTTACTCCTGGCTCTGCCCTCAGGAATTTCTCCTGGCGGTGCTCAGGGTACCATATGGGATGCTGGGAATCAAACCCAGGTCGGCCGCGTGCAAGGCAAACGCCCTACCTGCTGTGCTATCGCTCTAGCCCCTTATCCCCATTTTTTGATGATGTTGGATGTATTTTTGTAAAGTTGTACCAATGCCTTATATATCTGTGATCCCATTCCGTGGGTTGTCTTTATATCCTGCTCATCATTTCCTTTGAGGTGCAGAAGCTTCTTAATTTAATGTCGTCTCATTTGTTTATCTTTGCTTTCACTTGATTTTAGGATTTTATAAGTACAGTATCATGTAATCTGCAAACAATTAGAGCTTGACTTCTTCCTTTCCTATCTGGATGCCCTTGATAACTTTTTCTTGCCAATTGCTATGGCAAGTACTTCAGCACTATATAGAACAGAAGTGGTGAAAGTGGACTATCTTGTCTTGTGCCTGATCTTAGATGAAGGCTCCCCCACCCCACCCCAGTCCCCACTGAATATAATGTTTGATATGGGCTTGTAAATGGCTTTGACTATATTGAGAAAATTTTCTTCAATTCCCATCTTGTTAAGAGATTTCTTTTTTTTTTTTATTGTGAATACATGCTGTATCTTGCCAAATGTTTTTTTCTGCATCTGTTGATGTGATCATGTAATTTTTTCCATTGACATGGTGTATTATGTTGATTGACTTATGTTTGCTTTCCTGGGATGACTCCTACTTGGTGATGATCTTTTTGATGGCTTATTGGATCCTGTTTTGTTGAGGATCTTTGCATCTGTGTTCATCAAGGATTTTGGCCTGTAGTTCTCTTTTATTGGTGGTGTCTGTTTGCTGCTTTTGGTATCAGGGTGACATTTGCCTGACAGAAACTGTTTGGGAGCATTTCTGTCTCTTAAAATTCCTGAAAAGGCTTGAAAAGGATTGGCATAAGATCCTCTTTAAAGGTTTGAAAGAACTCAGTAGTGAATCCATCTGGGCTTGGGCTTTTATTTTGGGAGAGACTTTTGATTACCATTTCAATATCCTCGATAGTGGTACAGAAATATTGATTTCTCTAAACGTTTTCACCCAGTGACACCCAAGTATAACTGTGAGCATTGTCAAATTTGCTGAGTCTATCTGTTGCACTGCTGCTTCAGGAGATGTGGCGTAGGTGGAGTTTGGGTGTGGAGGCTGCCGGGACCTTGCCAGACTGAGGTTCCGAGGGGGGCCAGTGATGTCAGCCAGAAATTCATCTCACCTGGAAAGGTAGAGCTGCAAGCAGAGGTTCCTTTTTGAGCTTCTGCTTTCTCATGGGCCTGATCAGTTTTTTCTTTTTCTTCTCGATTCAGTCTTAGAATGTCAAGTTTCAAAGAATTTGTCCATTTACCCTACACTGTGTGATTTGTTACCATGTAATTGTTCATGAATCACTCATATTTTGTATTTATATACTGTATTGAAACCTTTTTTCAAAGTACCACCCCTTGGGGCTAGTGAGTAAGGCTGTTGCCTTGCTGGGTGTGATCTGGGTTTGCCCCTCAGTACCCCATAAGGTTCTCTGGGCTTGCGGGGATTGACCCTTGAATGCAGAGCCTGGAGTAAGCCAAATACTGCCAGTCCAAAACAAGCAGAAAAAAACACATGCACAAAGTAGCAACCCTTGGTTTTGTTGCTCTTTGGAACTGACTTTTGTATTTATTTCATTAAATATTGCTCTGATTGTTATCATTTTCTTCCTTGTACTGACTTTTAGCTTTCCTTTCTCTAGGTCATCAGTATATGACTCAGATATTTAACTTGTGATTTTTTTTTATTCCCTGAAGTTGACCCATATTACTACACTATTCTGCCCTCTTTGCACTTGGCTTTGCAGCCCTTCCTTGGATTCTGATAAGGTGTCTCCATTTCTAGCCATTTCCTAGTTTTTATTTTCACGCTCACCTTCTTCACTGACCCAAGGGTTATTCAATAGCAGATAGTTTATTCTCCAGAAACTAGTGTTTCTCTTCCCTGTCTTCTTTTGATCTTAACTTCCATTCAGCTATGAAATGTCTGATACGATTTCAGACTTCATACATTGTTTGAGGTATGTTCCTCAGCCTGAGTCCTGCCCTGGAGATGGCCTCGTGTGCACTTGAGAGGAACGTCTTCTGGATTACTCGGGTGCAGGAAGGCCTTGAGCTGGAAGTGGTTTTTCCGTCTGAATGATCTGTTCGTTCAGCGGTCGATGTGGGAGTCTGTGCTGCTGTCGTGACCCCCTCTAGTCAGTTCGTACTTGCTGTGTATACTGTGGCGCTCCCTTGTTGAATGCGTACACAGTGGCGCTCGCTACACACCCCAGCTTCATCTCGCACCTCTTTGGGCTGGACGTCTGTTGCCATCAATTGCCAGCTCCATTTCTTGACAGATTTTCTTTTACAATTTAACATCTTCAAGAGCAAAACTGCTGTGCTAGCTCTTTGGAATTCTGTGTCTTGTGGCTGCAGACTGTTGGAATGAAACCTGTGACGTCAGACGGTGACAGGTCTTACAGCCTTAAGCTAAGAAACACAAACCTGTGCTCATGCTGATGGAGTTTCATCCCTGAAGCCTGGAAGCTACCTTCAGGACGCCCTTTTAAATTGCATAGCATTTGCTTTGGTTGCCTGGTAAAAAAAAATTACCAAAGGGATATTCTTTCTGTTCACTAATGAGCTCTTTCCATTTCCTAAGCTGTGACTTTGTGGCGCTCCCTATCCATGGTTCATCGTGCCCAGTGAGTGACAGGATGCTTGGTGGCAATGCCCTTGCTGGTGGCTGCAGGGTGTAAGCGACATCTTCCTCGCCCGCTCAGCAATGGCCCCGGGACCCCTGCCTGCCTGCTGGTGCTGGAACTTCTCCTGTCCAAGCAGCTCGGCCTCCTGAACATGCCTGTTTGTGCACAGACTAAATCCTGACGACATTCGGGGGCGTAGAGCCACTCCCAGAGCAACTCATTAGATTTAGGCCGGGCTGGCGTGGGAGAATGTCCGCCGACTCCTGTCAAGTCCGCTCTGCGCCCAGCTCTCTCGTCTCTGTGTTCAGCTGCCTGTCTCTGAGATTGTGCAAAGCAGGAACAGTACCAATTTTAAACTCACCAGTGCACCCAAGGTGGTGGCAGAGACGGGAACGTCCCCTCCAGCAGCCGTCCTGCCTCACTGCTCCTGTGTCCTTCTGCGGGTCATCCCCACTAAACCTCCTGTCTGTCGCCCTAACCCAGGCGAGCCTTGCTCACGGAAGTGCTTCCTGTTCGTGTCTCTCCGGCTTGGTACACGTTCTTCCCTCTGCCTATGCTTTCTTCTCCTTCTTTCTGTTTCTGGGCCACACCAGGGGATGCTCATGGCTAACCCCTCGCTCTGCACTCAGGAATCTGTCCTGGCAGAGACCAGAGACCAGGGGAACCGTGTGTCGTTCTGGGGGTTCACCCAGGTCAGCCACACGCAAGGCAACCACCCTGTTCCCTGTCACCTTTCTCTGGTCCTGTCTGTGCTCCTCAAACTAGCCCAAGTGATCCCCCTTCTGGGGACTGCAGTGTAGAGCTGGGGTTACCCCATGCTCCTCGCAGAGCAGAGGTGATGTTTCAGCAAGTGCTCTTAAGGACTCTGGGCATGGATGTGTGCAAGTGGGCGTCCATCTCCTTGTGCAGTGAGCTCCTCTGCAAAGGCAGAAGCAGGCCCCTGGACTCTGCGGTGCAGCTGAGTGACTGTGTGGACAGTGGCTCACCCCCGGATCTGCCTGCATGACTCAATAGTGGTGGGGCACACCTCTCTGAAGTGTGGGGGCCACTTGGTGCCCTCTGGGTCAGCCAGCTGAGACTGCCTTCCCTGGGGGGGACCAGGCCTGCGTGAGGGCAGCTGGGAGTGGCAGCACCTGCACCTCCACATGGGGGTCAGCACCCGGCATCTGCGTGTTGGCGGTGGTTCGCATGGGGCCACCTGGAAAGGGCCTGGCATTCGGGGACAGAGGACTAGCAGTGAATGTCCTGATGCAGCCTTCACCCTGACAGTGCCTTCCAGAGGGGCACACGGGCTTATCAGAGGCAGGAGCCAGATGATGGGAAATCCAATGCTCTTTCCGGATCTCTTACTGCTGCCTCAGTCTCCATCTGCAGTGCCTGCGGGAAGGACAGCCCACCGTGCTTCTGAAGTGGAGTGGAGGGTGGGAATCACTGGGGGACCTTGGTGGAAGGACGATGGTACTGGTGGGGTTTGAGTTGGGACATTATAAACCTGAAACTATTACCAGGATTCTAATCGCAGTGCTTAAACTGTTTTTTTCTCTTAATTCTGATTCCTGAAGTATTTCTACCCGAACCTGCTCTCAGGGGGCTTCAGGAACTGACTAGAAATCATCTGATTTCTGAGATAACTTACAGGAAATACATCCTGTATTTCTTGGTGTTGCTCTTGAATTGTATCATTCTAAAAAGTTGTGTGAGGGGCTGGAGAAATAGCACAGGGTTGATGCATTTTTCTTGGACCTGGCTGACCTCAGTTCAATCCCTGGCACTGCATATGGTCCCCAAACATGCCAGGAATGGCCCTTGATCCCAGAGCCAGGAACAAGCTCTGAGCACTGCTGGATGTGACCCCAAAGCAGAAACAAAAGTTGCTTTCTAATACTATGTGCTTTTTTTATGGTTTCAGGATCACACCGAGGTCGTCCACAAGCCAAGCGCTTTGTACCACTGAGCTACGTCTCTGCTTTCGTGTGTGTGTGTGTGTGTGTGTGTGAGAGAGAGAGAGAGAGAGAGAGAATCTGACTTTTTAAAATATGTTGGACCCTATTCATTAGAGATGTAAAGAAATTTTCAAATCCTACCAAGATGATCACATTGAGTTTATTTAACTATACATGAAATACTAACTTAATACTTACATTGCATTTTTTTTCCAGGTGTGCAAACGAAACCAAATTCAAAACAGAAGATGTATTTTGGGCTTACAATTTCTGCCCCACCCCCTACTCCTGGACTGCACTCGTGGGCCTCATTTTATATCTTGTTTTCTTCGCACCTGGTAAACAAAGAATTTGTTATTACTGTGAATTAAATACTCTCTTTTTAGATGAGAAGAACTACTGTTTCTCAAATCACTTCCTGCTTTACCTGATAGTAGTGTGTGTTTTCAGGAATGGGACCAATGCCCTGGACTGTGAACTCTGAGATCTATCCCCTCTGGGCAAGAAGCACAGGAAATGCGTGCTCATCTGGAGTAAACTGGATTTTTAACGTCCTGGTTTCGCTCACGTTTTTACACACAGCAGAGTACCTGACATACTATGGTAAGAGGAAATCGTCCAACACGTTGCTTCTGCTCTGGGGTAAGCAAACGTCTCAGGCAGCTTTTCCCAGCCAGGGGCCATGTGGCCGCCTGGGCGCCCCCTGGATGTTCCAAGGGGGCCACGGGTGAAACCATGTAACTGAAGGGCCGGCCGGAAGGACAGAGGACCACAGGAGAGAAACAGGGTTGGAAGGGGCTCTGGTGGGGAGGAGGTGGCACTGGTGTAGTTTCCTAGAATGGGTGGCACTACATCCCCCAGGGAGGAGGGGCTGGGATGACCCAGGGAGTAGGCAGCAGCTTTGGGTGCCACTTTGTTCACTTAAAGGAAGTAGATTTCCCAGAGGAAGGGAGGTGGTGAATGATTTCTCTGAGAAGGGGGTAGCAGGTCATATCCTAAGTGTGGGGACCTCCGGGCTAGAGAGAACACAAGTTGGGTGTCTGCCTTGCACGTGGCCAGCCTGGGTGCATCCCGAACAATCCATATGTTCCCTGACGCTCTACCAGAGTGATCCCTGAGCAGAGCTGGGTGTGGCCCAGGAATAAAGGGTTTGGGGACCTCTGGTCTAGACGATTCATTCTATTTTTTTTTCCGCTGTTATAGGAACCCCCCCCAAATATTCAAGGGTCTGCCTTCTGCTTCAGTCACATTGTCCCATAAAATATTACAGACCTCTGAGAGACCACAGTCACAGACTCACTGTAGAGTATTGTCCTAATTGTAGCTGATCTCTTACTGTGCCTGATGTGTGAATTAAGTTCATCACAAGTGTACATGCTTGGGGGGTTGGGCCAGTCTGTAGAGGGGTCTCGAGGGGTCTGGTGCTGTCTGTGGTTTCAGACGCCCGGAGTGGAGATTAGAATCTGTCCCCAGGGAGTAGGGATGGGAGAGCTCTGTAACATTTTTCTTGGGATTTTTGTTCCCCAGGGGCCTTGAAACTGGGAGGGGAATTCTCATCTTCCAGGCAACACTGCAGCTCACATCCCTCCCTCAGTGGCTTCAGTCTTGTACAGACGTGACTCGGTGGCTGCAGACCACTGCTATGACTTCCCTCGCACCCGTTCCTCACCGCCCTCTCCCCAGCTGGTTCCCGAGGTTTAAGGAGAATCGATATGTGATATGTGGGCGTGGTGTTGGGCCAAGGCGTGGAGCTCCCCCTGCAGAGGGGTGGCGCTGCGTGGGGAGGGTCTCGCAGGGTTCGTGGTAGGGGGAAGAGCCCCTGCTGTGCTGTCGGTATGGCGGGTCACTGAGTGGTCGTGCCCAGTGTCAGGAGGGGCTCGGGAGGGGAAGGGGCAGCTGCTCGTCGTCAGCACTGGACGAAGACACTGTTCCGTGCTTGGGACTGAGTTCTTCCCCCACCACTCCATCCCGGCCCCCTTAGGCCCTTGCCGCCCCCTTCCCTGTCCCCCCTTCTCCCCCTGCACCCAGGACTGGACTGGACAGTGAGCTCCGGCCAACACTGTGTATTTCATATGACAGTCCTGGCGTTCCCAGGGGAACCTGTTCACCTGTTGGCAGTGAGAAGGTGTGAAATGAGTAAATGAACAGATGGATTTTGTAGACAGACGATAAAGCGGAAGTTCCGTACAGTAGGAAAATCTGTTCTTCCTCCCTCTGCGCATGTCGGATTGGTCTTTCTTTCCTCGTTTTCTGATCCTCTGCTGTGAAGTCATAAACCGCTGTTGAGCAGCCAGGACCCCACGTGGGCGTTTCTCTGGAGCACCTGCGTCCTGATGGGACCGGTTTCCGGTGTGCATCCCTTTGCTCAGGTCGCCCCACAACCGCCACCCCTCCCTCTGATAACACTAATTGGCCTTAGGCCCAGATGTTTGTTTTCACTGTTTGTTTCTCCCTCGGGGAAACCAGTGTTTGTCTTTCTCCTTATGAGTCGTTTCACTGAGACGCTTTTTCAGTCCGTACCTGCTGCAAGTGGTCGGGATGTATGAGCCCAGGTCGCATATATACCTCTTCTCTGTCCAGGCTCCAGGCACGGCCACTCAGGTTGTCAGAAATATTTTTGGGAAAAGGCATTTGAAACTAAGTATTTGGGATGCTCGAATTTTTTCACCAATTGGGGCCAGAGCAATAGCACAGCAGGGAGGACATTGGCCTTGCATGCGGCTGACCTGGGTTCGATCCCCAGCATCCCATAGGGGCCCCTGAGCAACACCAGGAGTAATTCCTGAGTTCAGAACCAGGAGTAACCCCTTTTGGGTCAGGTGTGACCCAAAATGCAAAATAATAATAATAATAATAGAAGTAAATCTTTTAAAATAAAATGTTACTATTTGAACAATTTTTTTACTAAGAACCTTACCTTTGTGATATACTTACAATGAGATAACATATTTAAAAGTATTCCATTACTTCTGAATACTAAATATAAACATCCCAAGGAAGCACTTTTTATAGAAAGTCTTGGACCAAATAATGAAAGTCTGCATGGTCAGATTTTGATAGTGAAGCTCCCCTTTCTCAAACGGATGCTAACACATGAGGTAAAATGTACATGGGGAAAGGAGAGAGAGAACACAAGGGATTGCCCTGCCACAGAGGCAGGGGGGGATGGGGGGTTGGGGGTGGGAGGGATATTATCCATGGTGGTGGAAAATGGGCACTGGTGGAGGGATGGGTATTTGATCATTGCATAATCAAAACCCAAGCACAAAAAATTGTAAATCTACAACTGTACCTCATGGTGTTTCACTAATTAAAATATATATATATATTTAAAAAAATGTACATGGGGACAGTGAGGTTTCTCTCAGAAGCGTGCAGTGAGAAGTAGGCTTCTGCTTCTGCAATAAGCTAAACTGGCTTGTGCCTGTGCCTGAACCCTGACATTACTGCTGGCAGTTTCAGCTTAGTTTTTCTATGGGTTTGTGAGTTTCTTTGTGACGTTTTAGCCTACATGTTGATTTACAGATGGTTTATATTTATAATCCTGATTTCACAAATATGCAGCCCAGCGTTTTATTTTTTGGTTATACCTACTTTTTTTGTTTCCCTTTTTTATCGTTTTAAGATTTTTATTTCTTCTAAACCACTGCTGAGGCCTCCTCACTCGTGTTTTTACTGAAACTCATCCTGAAAGTGTCATCATGATTCCACTTGGTGTTGGTGTGATGGCAAATGGCCTGTGTTGAGTCACTGAACTCAGCTCAGATAGGGTCTTGGATGCTCTCGCATTCTGCAAAGGAGGCTTTCTGTGCTTTTCACTAAGCAGAACCTGGTCGCGTTGAAAGGCAAAGAAAAGACACAAGTCTGTAAGCCTAGGTCTTCCCCCCCGCCCCTCCCAGACCTAACAAAGGAGAATGCCACCCCCTTTGCCTCACCAACAGAGCCTGATGTACAAAACTCCAAGACTAGAGCCACAGTGCCACCTGCTGGGAAGAGAAGGCAGTCCATGCCCAGAGGAAAAGCTGCACAGGTGCCAGTTCAGTCTTTGGTTTGGGGGTCACACCCGGCGGCTCTCGGGGGTTACTCCTGGCTCTGCAGTCAGGAATCACTCCTGATGCTGTTCAGGGGGGCCCTGTGGATGCCGGGATCAAATCCCGCCCACACTGTGCACGACAGGTGCCCTCAGTACTGTCTCCCGGCCCCAGGATGCCGATTCAGAGATCACAACAAAATGGAGATGCTGAAGAAGACTAATAAATACACAGAAATCCAACCTAACGATGTGGAATTGGGGGCCAGGGAGAGGACAAGAATTAGGGCACTTGGTCTGGAGCTGCAACTGTGGTTTGAATCCCCTGCGCCACGTAAGTTCCCCTGATCACGGTCAAGGGTTGTGTCCGAGCACAGAGCCAGAGCAGTCCCTAAGCACCACCAGGCCTCGCTACCCCCATCCCAGAAAGAAGACTCGGACTTGTTTGGGATCTAAGAGACAGTGAATAAAAACCTGCCCTTGGGGATCCCAGTCACGTGCAGAACCGTACATAAGCACAGAATGGAAAGCCAGGAACCTCAGGAAGAAAAGAAGGGTTCCTCAGCCGAGTCGGAGTTGAAGTAACCATGTGTTACGGCAAGCAGACTTCTTTCTCTTGCTCAGGAAAGGGTCGCTGAAACGGTAGAAATGACTGAATTGGAAGAGGAAAGACACGAGTTAGGAAAAGTGAAGAAACTCTCCAAGATGTTTCCGCTTGTGAGAGAGTGTGAGTGAGACGGGGCGACCCAGAGGAGGACGCAGACACAGGCCCCTCTGGGACTGCAGAGCACTGTCAGGCTCTCCCCTCGAACCCCAGCCAGAGGAGATGAGGAAAGGCAGAAGCCACCACAGGAGTTCTCAGCCTCGCCAGACTGTCAGACCTGATAGAGAGACGGTCTTCCCCAGGTGAACGGAAACTCACTGCCGACAGACCTGCTCTGAAGCATCGACCTCAGGGCCCTAGGCGATTCGGCCTTCTTAGGGGGAAGAAGCCACACAGTGCTCCCTGGGGGGTGGTACTGCCCCCTTTCCAAAGCACCACTGAGAGAGATGTTTACTAGGAGTTAGAAGCTTTAAAGCAGAACAAGACAGCAGAAAGCATCAACCATGAGGGAGGAAGCAGACGCCATAGGCCGGTGACAGCAAGTGATGGCACGTATGGCGCTTCCAGCCCTGCTGCTGGGCACAAAGCAAAAGTCGGGAGCTGAATGGATGAATCAAGCAAAGAGTCAGGAAGAGAAAGATACCAGATTTCATTTAGACGCACAGTATAAACAAAACACACTAACCAATACAAGAAAAATAACATTTAAGCCCTGGTACCAGGAGATGATTGCAGGAAGGACAGGATGCAAGGAAGGGGTCGAGAAGGATTTACTCCAGAGTGGTGGATGGTGCTAACGTTAGTGGTTGTGGCCTATACTTCTACCAAGACACGAAGCTGAATTCCTGAAACAAAACAGTCTTGTAAACTAATAGCAGCACTGTAGCACTGTCCTCCCGTTGTTCATCGATTTGCTCGAGCGGGCCCAGTAACACCTCCATTGTGAGACTTGTTGTTACTGTGTTTGGCATACTGAATATGTCACGGGTAGCTTGCCAGGCTCTGCCATGCAGGTGCAGGTGGGATACTCTCGGTAGCGTGCCAGGCTCTCCAAGAGGGACAGGAGAATCGAACCCGGGTCGGCCACATTCAACGCAAATGCCCTACCTGCTGTGCTGTCACTCCAGCCCAAACTAATAGTAAGATCAATAAAATAAAATATTTTGAAATAAAACTTAGGGTCTGGGGATAGCTAGGTGTTCATGCTCCCTACCCAATTTCTGTGTATATATACAGTACTAACAAATTATCAAAAGGAGAAATTAAGAAAATAATCCCATTGAGATGCATTCACCTGATTTCTCTGTGAGGTAAACACACACACACACACACACACACACACACACACACACACACACCTTCCAGAAAAACAAAATATCCCAATAACCAAAGTAACCCTGAGTAAACAATAACAAAGCTATCAAAGCCACACCACCAGATTTCAAATACTGCCAAGCTACGATGCTCCATCTTTATCTTACAGTATGGTAGCACTGTAGCACTGTACTCCCGTTGTTCATCGATTTGCTCTTGCGGGCAACAGTAACATCTCCATTGTGAGACTTGTTACTATTTTATTTTATTTTTGCTTTTTGGGGTGCATCACACCTGGCGATGCACAGGGGTTACTCCTGGCTCTACACTCAGGAATCACTCCTGGTGGTGCTCAGGGGATCACATGGGACGCTGGGAATCAAACCCGGGTCAGCCGTGTGCAAGGCAAACGCCCTACCTGCTGTGCTATTGCTCCAGCCCCTTGTTGTTACTATTTTTGGCGTATTAAATACGCCACAGGTTACAGTATGGTATTGGACTAAACACGTAAATGCATAGTAGACACAGAACCATGGAAGAGAAAGGAGAGCCCAGTGCAAAGCTACACACACGAACAGCACAGGTCAAGGACATCAGTGGGAAAACGTGCTGCTCTGGTCAGTGGGGCAGTGTCAGCTGGAGGCCACATGCAGGACGAGGCTGGACCATGACCCGCGGGGAGGCCCACCAGAGGGTCTTGCCCAGGCAGAGGCAGGGTCAGACTGTAGGGGCGCCCAGGTTACCACCCCAGGGTCCTCACCAGCAGCTACAGGAGAACACAAGGGGAGAATTCTCTTGCCAGAATAGTGAGTAAAAATCCTTCAAAGCAGAAGTGACCCTTGAGTCCATCCACCATTCTTGGGCTTGGTACAGTCCTTGAATTTGGGGAGCTAACGTGAATTCTATTCTCGGGGTTAGATTGCTAACAGTCAGCCAAGCCAGCAGTGGTGTTTCGGTTTGGCTCCGTGTCAGAACACGGGTAGGCATGGTTGACCAGAAAGAAAAGCCCACGCCTTGTCCCGAGAGCGAGTGGTTGTGTACACTGCATCACTCACATGAGTCTGTCCGATTGCAGGCGCCTTCTTCCTTTACGCTGGATTTGCCGCTCTGGGACTCCTCTTCGTCTACGGCTGTCTTCCTGAGACCAAAGGGAAAAAGTTAGAGGAAATTGAATCTCTCTTTGACCACAAGCTTTGCACGTGTGGTGCTTCGGATTCCGAGGAAGGGAGATACATTGAATACATTCGGGTGAAGGGAAGTAACTACCATCTTTCGGACAACGACGCTTCTGACGTGGAGTAGCTGTCACTGTGCTGTCTCTCGCTGTCTGACGGCCTGGGGTGAGAGCAGCGAATGGTGGCCTCAGTGCCCTGCTTCTCACCCGGCTCTTTCCAGTCCCGCCAGAGTGACTTCAGGAGGAGACAACTGTGGCAGCTGCCCACACGAAAGATACGGAAATCATATCCGCAAAGACTCCAACCTACATAATCTAGAACAAACGTGTGATTCCTCCCTGAGTTAAATGAGTATCGTATCCAGTGACTTCAGTGATGCCCCATGTCACGCTCAGTGCCCAGTCAGTGCTGACCTAAGTCCTGTGCGGTGTGGCCCGGCGTGTGTCACGTCACCCCCTCCTGGCCCTGCAGTGCCCTGAGGACAGTAGCTGGGCTGGGCCCAGCTGTGAGAAAGTGCCATCCGCCTGTCATCAGCAGACCCCAAGCACCTTTTGTAAGGATTCCATCGTCTGTGTCTCCTTTGACTTCCACGTTTGGGTTTCTTTCTCCAGTTCAGATCCGAGTGTTTTCAGAAACTTCATGGACTCTTTCGAACACTGTAAAAAGCAGGTATTTGAAGGATTATTTTCTTACATATTTTTTGCATCAGTGAGAAGTGTACATTTGCACAGAGAAGCTTAGCAAGCTATAGTAAGTATTTTTATTGCTAGATTTTTATGGATTTCTGATTGAATTGATCACATAATTGCAAACACAAAATAGTGCCAGATCTTTGCCTGTACTTCAGGGTCAGTGTGTGTCCATGCCCAAATTGCCGACGTTCAGCATGACTTCATTCGTGACTCTGGAGTCTACTCTCTGTGCCTTCGCTGTGTTATAGGAATAGCATCAAGCAGTCCTGTACTTCTCTTCTTTTAGCTACATTCGTGGAAGTAAAGTACAAGAAGTAAACCTGCTATTACTGATATTCAGTCAGATAGTGGGGCTTCCTTCTTAGCTTTTTTCATACTCATCCTAAAAGCATCATCACATTCATGATTTATTGGTACTGGTTTTTATTTTGTTCACTCTTTCTCACTTTCCCTAACAAAATCGGGGAGGGGGGGCTACAGTTCATAAATGTTGGTCTGTTTCTTTCTCACATACTTGATTATCAATATTTAGATTTTCTGTTGAAACCAATAATTCTTACATAGCACATCTGATAAAATGCCAACTTCCCCACCATTCTACAAAGTAATGCTCATTCATCAGTGAACCCTAATTTCTACTCTTACATTAGAAATTGCATAATATGTGTAAAAATTACGTACAAGCTTATTTGCAGTTACAGTGGAAATACAAACAAGTTTTCTGTGGTTGGTTAGGAATGCCTAAGTTTGGTGCATTTAACATGCGGCTAGATAGCCAGTGAGGTACTCCTTGGAATTAAAAGGTGGGTCTCTCGACATGCAGCATTTCTGCCTCTGTCCAAGATGTCTTGTTTCACTTTGGGGGGGCAGGTGGAAAGACGTGATGATGTTACTCCGGGTACTACCAGGAGTTATTCTGGTAGAGAGCCAGGATTATTCCCTCAGCACATCTGGGTGGAGCCCAAGTAATTATTTCATATTAAGTTCATTATTTTTGACATTATTTCTCTTGAATTAGCTGCTTTAATGATTCCCAAGGGAATCCCCAGGAAAGATGTGATTTAATAGATTATTTTCTTGATATTTGTATTCCACAAAAAATTTTTAGCTCTGCAATAGGTAAAAGGAGGTAAAAAAAATAAACTGTAAAGGAAGAAAATCAAAAAATGATGAGGGGAACTATTCTAGTTCAGTAAAGTACCCTCTTCAAAGATGCTTTTCCATTCGTCCAGACAGTTGCCTCAGTTCTCTTTTATTATATATACAGCCTTAACTTTATGCTTGTTTCTATGACCAGCTAGGCTAAATGCACAGGAACTTGACTATTTCCTAAACCAGGATATGGCTAACATAGCAAAGGGTATTTTTGACTTTATATCCACAAATACACGATTCCAGGGAAAATTAACCACAGTTCTCCTCCCTGAGTCTCCTCGATCTTTCTTTAAAGAACTATTTGTTACTTAGTAAGGAAGATAATTTTCAATATATCTTTGAAGTATGACAGAGCACAGTATAACATAATTTTTAGAAAAAAATTTGTTTTTTGAAGAAAAGGAACCTAATAAAACTGGATATTATTTTTAGATAAAAGTATTTATAGAACATTAGAAGTTAGATGCTATGGTTTTTCAGTTTCCAAATGCCACACACCTTTTAGGGTCACAGCATCTCCAGTTGCTGTTTCAGTGTGAAAATAACCCTATCCTCTGTGTATTGTGTAGAACAATTTATATATGGTAAGATTTGACCTATTATCTTGAAATCCATTCAACCTGATGCTTTTAACTGAAATTGTAGACTCAATGCTTTTAACTGAAATTGCGTGGTTTTTTCCACGTACGCTGCCAATGCGGCGAGTCTCCCTGTTTGAGGCAGTGCAGCTGAGGAGGGGTCCAGGCCCTGACACTTGCCTGGCTGGACCACCTGACTAGACTTGCAAGAGTGCAGCGTTTCATCTGCAGTCCAAACACACAAGGCAAGATGGAATGCCAAAAGGCTTTAAAGATCAAACACTAATTTACCTTTACATTTCATTCTTCTACCTTCGTCACCGATTACACATAGTGTAGTTTTTAGTGTACATATAGATGATGTAAGTAAAAATCTAGGTTCCATTCCCTTAGGGTTCCCTCCCAAAAGAAAGTGCTTCCTTGGAAATTCTGTCCTGAGCCACATGTAATAAACACTTCCTTGCTTGGAAAGTTCCATGGGGGTACTGCTAACCAACGGCTTTTTAATAATTTTTTAAAATATTTATTTATTTATTTATTTTGGGGTCACACCCGGGGATGCTCAGGGTTACTCCTGGGTTTGCATTCAGGAATTGCACCTGGCAGTGCTTGGGGGACGATATGAGATTCCAAGGACTGAACCTGGGTCAGCTGCGTGCAAGGCAGATGCCCTCCCTGCTGGACTATCACTCTGGCCCCCTCATAATTTTTTTTAATCATCAAACACATGTCAGTAGAAGAGTGAAAATGTTATTTTAAGTTATTGACTTTAAAATGGGGAATCCATTAAAGCAGATGACTTAAATTTTCTTACTGTAATTTCAAACAAAATGTGTATTATCTGAAACAAAAAATAGGAAAATTTACAACTCTGTCCTTTTGCTTTACACTAGAAAAACTGAATTATTGTTAATAATCCATAGATTCTTATGGGAGTGCTTAAGAAAAAGACTTAAGAAACAGAAAAATACCGTTCCTAGGTTATCTGAGAGTCGCCCAGAGCCACAACACTAACGGGCAGCCCCACGAGACAGCAGGTGGCAGTCACTGTGCCACGGCCTCCTCAGCATGCTCGGATGAGGGAATTTGGTGTTTTATTATAATCTGGGTCCTGGTTGTAAGACCTAGAATTATGGGCAGGGTGATAGTTCAGCAGGTAGGGTGCCTGCCTTGCACACAACTGACCCAGTTCAGTCGCTGGCACCCCATGTGGTTCCCGAACCCACCAGGAGATTCCTGAGTTCAGAGCCAGGAGTGAGCCCTGGGCACTGCCAGGTGTAGCACCCCAACCCCCCACCCCGCCAAATCTAAGATTATGTAAAGAACTAACAACTTCCTTTCATTCGGGTGAATTTTCAGTTACCTAATTTAGACCTTTTCGTGAAATGAAATGTTAGCGGACATACCAGGCCAGGAGAAGAGAAAGGGCCTGTGCTTTGTAGCAAAATGTAATGCAGCGTAGATATCCTGCAAAGAGAAGGTGTAGCTGCTCCCGCCAAAGGCCCCAGAATTACTCTCTGAAAATGTGTCGAACTGTAGATATACTACAAAGAGAAGATGTAGCTGTTTCCTTCAGAGGCCCCAGGATTGTTCTCTGGATTAACTGGAGTGGCCTGTTTTCTGTCACTCTCTGTTCAGTTTTCTTAGCCTGGTGTACAGTAGCGTTCAGCTAATTTGATGAAGTGATTTAGACTGATAGCCCTATCTATTAGCTGTCTATTCAGAGTGAACTCTGTTGCTATTTCCTGGAAACAGCACTCATTTTTAAATGCCAGACCAGCTACCTGTTACCAGCTCTGTACGGTCTCTTATAAAGGAAACGTTTTAAGTGCCAGTGTTCATCACATGTTTTCTAAGGGTATTAACAATGTTCAGAATGCAGCACATAAAATCACTTTGTCCTCTTTTCACTTGTTTATATGAAACAGTATGCTCATGAACCTTCATGTGTATAACAATGTTCTACTTGAGTGATTTAACTTCTGGAATATTACATACCCACCTTTCATGAGTGCTCTTTAGACATCTTTATTTCAGAACATGAATGTGTTTGTCCTTTTCTTATTTTAATTTCGAAAGAAAAATGGACCATGCCGCTTGCAAGTACCTAAATTTTAAAGTAAACAATTTGTAGTCATCTCATTTGAAGATTTAAAAAAAATGAGACCAAATGCTAACCCAAGTAAAGAATTCCGTCTTTTGAACTATATCTTAATTGATGTCATGATAGATTTATTTGTAATAAATGTTCCAGTTTCTATTTAGAACAATGTACATCTAGACATTTTAAGTTTTATGCTTTGAACTGTTACTTCCAAATGTGTATTTTCATTTCTGATTGCATGTTATATATTACAGTGTTTAATATTTCACATGTCAAAGTATTTATTATTATAATGACAAATAGAATATATCTCTTAAATATGACTATCCATTTCTTCAAAATCGTTCTATCTTACCGCTGTATCTAAAGCATTATATATTTTATGGAGTGATGTATATGTAAATGTTTTTTATTTTATTGAATTTTAGCCTTTACATAAAATTTAAATCTTTTTTAAAAAAGTGTCAGTGCCAGAATTGTAAGTGGAAATAATAAAAGTCGAAACAATTTATTACTCATTTATCTTCCTTGCAGTTTCTTCTCTCTCTCCCTTGAGTAGTAGGGTCTAAGTTACTTCTAAGCAGAAACTGCGTGGTCCCCCCCAGCCGTGCGGGGGCTACCTGGTGCTTACCCCTCAGGGCTGCCCATCCCCCTGGCCTCAGCACCACGTCCCCTCGTGGCTGTCTAGGACTTGGAGCTCACCCTCGCCCTCCAGGCCAGCTGGGGCTCCGTGCCACCTGTGTCTGCCTGACCATGCCTTACGACTGCCACCAGGTGGCTTTGGAGAACTTTGCCAACTATTTTCACCAATCTTGTGAGGAGAGAGAACGTGCTGAGAAGCTGTAGAGCCAGCAAAGTGGTCGGATTTTCCTTCCAGATACCAAGAAACCAAACCATGATGACGGAGAACGGGCTAATGCAATGGAGTGTGTGTTACACGTCAAGAAAAGCACAAATCATTCAGTACTGGAGCTAAACTGGCCACAGGCAACAGTGACCCAAGCTGTGTGATGTCCTGGAGACTCTACCTGGATGAGCAGGTGAAGGCCTCCGAGAATCGGGGGACCACGTAACCAACTTGGTCTGGGTCTGACTTGGCAGAGAATCTCTCCAGCAAGCTCTGGGGTGAGTGACAAAGGCACGACTCATGCTCACGCCCCACAGCTACAGAGGACCCCTTGGGGGCCAGGGCAGAGCATCCGTTACCTTTAACTTTTCTATCAGTTCCAGAACATCTATTTCAGCCTTTGATTTTTATCAATCCTTCAAATGATGTGCAGCCCTGACCTCACCCCCCCAAAAAAGAGCATCAACAGAGACTGCACATGTTGGTATTCTCAGGTATTCCTCTTCTCCTTTCATCATACCTGACATAGTTTAAAACACTTTTGATACCTAAAACTTGTTCCAAGGAGGGGCTGGAGAGGTAGTACAGCAGACATGGTGTTTGTCTTGCACATGGCCAACCCCCACTTCCATCCCTGGCACCCCATGAGGTCCCCTGAGCCCCACAAAGTGTGATCCCAAGCACAGAGACAGCAGTAAGTCCTGAACACTGCTGGGTGTGGCAGAAATTAAACTTTGGAATAAAGTTCTTGGAAGCCGTTGACCTATGAGTCACTGAGCGGGTGACAGCTGGACTTCACAGCAGGATGTGCGTCCTGAACACACCAGTCCCACCTGAGAAGAGCCTGGAGACTAAGCCACATACCCCCACCCCAAATGGAACCAAGGACCCTGATGCCAGCAGGCAGAGAGAGACCCAGTCATCAGACCACCTATGGCAGTTCCACTGCCTGTGCCCCGGGTGCTTACCTGAGAGTGCAGCTGAGAGCACAGTCTGTGTGTCCGTGGTCAGCCCAGTGCTGGGGACACTGCTGTCTTCGTGGACGTTTTGGACCAGCCTGGAATCAAGCACTTCCTCTGCAGACTGTCCGCCAGTTTTCCTCTCCTGGCTCTTCCTTAAGCTCTTCTCGCAGGCCCAGGCAGGAGAACGGCGAGTCCAAGCAGGGCGCCACCCGTGCAGCAGAGGGCAGCAGCTGTTCGCCTGGCCCCACTCAGGCCTGGACATTCTGAAGGCAAGATGTGAGGAGGATCCAGCCTCCCTCCTCCACTCACTGCCTGTCAGCTGCATGGTCATTCTCTGCCTTGTTTCGTGGTCTGCAGTGTGATGTCATTATGATCCATCTCTTCTACGTGCCATGGGGTGACATCCCTGCATCGTGTGAACTATTAGTTGCAGCATCCCTGGAAGGCGTCTTGTGCCTGCAGCAACCAAGCCTGGGATAGGCCTGGCCTGAATTCATCCCACCTGGCCTCATGAAGCCCTCCATTCTCTCTCTGTTCTGCGGTAGCATGTCGGACACCCAGGAAAGTTAAAAACCAGTGTGTTCAAGGTACCTCTTCTGTTCAAGTAGAAAGTGAATTTGAACACAGTGAAGTAATGAAGGGGTAATGCTAGTTTTCTCTGGAGAGGGTTTTTAAAATTATGTTGTAAATGCTGGAAGGAGTAAGAAACTTCTCATGTTCCTCCAATTTGAGAGTGCAGAAACTCCCTATTCAAGTTGAGATTCCTGTCCCCACTCACTCCCAGAAGAGTCACCTACAAGCCTAAAGTGTCTATTACTGTGTCCATACAGAATGGTAAGTATCAGGAAGGAGAAATAAAGATGCTAATTAAGTTGCAGGTCTAAGGAGAAGAGACACACGTTAAGGGCTGTTTTGCCCTCGTGGGCTGCAGGTGGTCGGGAAGACTGGGAAAACATTTTGATTGTGCTTCCCGTTGGTTGGGGGAGAAGTAAAAGAGTGAGTGAGACAGAGAGAGATAGAGGAGATGGATACAGCAGGAGGAAATAGTTGCAGGGTTACAGCGAGAAGAGAGACGGTTAAGGAGACACAGAGACAGAAAGAGGAGTAGAGTGAGGGAGGGAGAGAGAGTTGGAGGAAGACTGAGGGAGAGGCAGAGAAGAGACGAGAGACTGAACAAATGGCAACTAATCAGCAACCAGCTTGGCCCTCGATCCTCCTCCATCTGTCCAAGGCAACAGCCGTCCCCAGTGGAGAAGCGGCTCAAACGTGGGCAGCGAGAGAGAGCGCCCGGAGAGCCAGCGAACATGCTTCCACGTGCAATCCCCCAACTCGCCTGGGCAAAAGGAGAGTCCGGAGCTCTGGCCTGGGGTGGAGGGGGGAGGCCAGGGGGCCAAAAGGGAATATTACAGGGGTCAAACGGGTTGGCTAGTGCAAGGCCTTACGCCCTGTACTATCTCAAGTCCCTGCTCAATTATTCTTTGAAAAAAGCATCAAAACATGTATTGAGTCTTGAAGAGAAAATACCTTCCTTTGAATACAAGCACTAAGAAAAATTTTGGTGTACAGTAGAAGATACATTTTGTATAAAAATCAGTGCCAGAAACTGTGATAGCTAAATAAAATGTAGTAATAAAAACAATGACAGAATGTTTAATGGGAATAAAATAATTTATATGACAAAATTCTTATAATAAGGCTATAAACATATTTTGTCCGTTGGTGGATGAGAAGGTACAGTAACTTTGTACAACAAAATCATAAATGTAACAATATTGTAACTATGTTGTCTAAATCTAAATTACAAAGCATTTCTGATGTTCTGTAATATTTTGTTTGAAATCTTGGATGGAAACATTTCTCAAGGATACAGCTTACTAAATTTTAAGATAAGCACAAAAGGGAAGAAGCAGCCAGGCATTTTAATTCACATATACTGTATCATAACATAATCATATAAAGAATGACGACACTAACATTTGCATTTTCAAGAAATCTGAAGACACGTAAAAGCGATTAAAGAAATAGCTGTGTGAACTTAAATGTGCAATATTAAAGTGTCTTCAGACAAGCCGGCTATAAACCAACGCTTAACTCCATTTCTCATTATGATGCTAGTGGGATTCTGAGCCCTAACTGCACGGTTACATCTCAGGCTGGGATTTCCGAGTCCTGGCAGTCCCTGGGGACACCCTGCCCTCCAGGGTACCCTGACATGCCTGCCCACTTCTCAGTGTCCCGAGACAGCCCCCCGCTCTGCACGGCCACGTCCGCCTTTGCGGGGCCCCCACGCCAGCCTTCAGTCTGCACCCCTGCATCACAGAGACCCAGAGACACCAGTCCCCCGCACTGCACGGCCACGTCCACCTTTGCAGCCTCCCCAGGCCAGCCCTCTGTCTGTGTCCCCGCGTCGCACCTTGCCCCCTGTGGAGGGAGCTTCCTCATGCTGTCCTTCTGCAGTACCTGCACTGAGTTACTCTGAGACTGTGAAAAATGGGTGGGATTATTTTTCACTGATAACTGGTGGAAATGATCATTTTGTTGAATTCCAGGGCTGCCTCGGGTTTCCTTCTCCCCTGGAAGTCTAGTCTCCCGTTCCAGATAAACATTATTGGGCGTCTCCTTGGTGTTGATGGATCTCTCAGGCGGTTCCATTTGCTGCGATACTGAACCTTCATCTTCAGATAGCTAAAAAAGTAGCAACTGTTGTGTAAACAATACTGAATCTTTTTTTAAAAAATTCGTTAAGGCAGTCTTAAACTGTTGTGTAACTGTTGTGTAAACAATACTGAATCTTTTTTTAAAAAATTCGTTAAGGCACACTTTTTCTATCCATACTATAGAAAAATTTCAAAATACATGAGACTGGCAGGTCACAAATCAAAGATAGTATAACAGTCTTCCAACAGACATCAGGGAGTTTTCAAAAACTGAGAACAATCCTAATGGCACAAAGGACAAAGCAACCCCAAGAGCGTGTTTCTCAGGAACAGCCATCCACTGCCTGGGGCATGGGCCACACTCCCAGGCCCCCAGGAGCGGTGCAGGACATCAGGAAGAGCACACAGCGCTCTGACGGGTCTGAGCCTCTGGGAGGCCTTCAGGGGTGACTTCCTGAAGCTGATGAACGAGAAAAGGGCAGCGGAAGGTTCCTGCCCTGCACACGCCAACCACTGGTCCTCTGCACTCCATTGTGACTCCTGAGCACAGAACTATGAGTAAGCTCGGAGCAACGCTAGGACGCTCCCAAAACCAGAAAGTCAAAGGGATGAAGGTAACTGGGAACAGGATGTAAACGCCCAGAGAAGAGACAGACAGCAAGGGCAGGTGTAGTCTGAGGAAGGACATCCAGGGGGCTGCAGTCCCTCTGGGCAGTCTCAAGCAAAGTGGAGATGAGGGACGGCAGGTGCAGGCAGCCACGGGCAGCAAGGGCGCGTGCGGGGAGAGCCGTTGGGAAACACGGCCGCTCAGACAGGAGTGTGGCCCTGAAGGCCCAGGGGCTGACGCCAGCCTTAAGGAGTGAGTAAGCATGCAGGTAGTCTGGACTGGACAAAGGGCCAAGAAGGGGGTGAGAAGAGCACGGCCCAGGAAAGCAGAGATGCCGGATGGAGCGAAAGGGCAGAGCCAGGGTTTGGCCCCTGGCAGCCTGTAAGTCCCCGAGCACAACCAGGGGGGACCTCTGAGCTCAGGCGTGGAGTAACCCTGAGCACCACCAGAAAACAAACTGAAACAGAAAGGCAGAGCGGCCAAGAAGAAGCAACATCCTACTGCTGGGTTTCTGCTGTGGGCGACTAGAGAGAAGGCTCCTGACTAAGACGGTAACATGGACCAGTGAAAGGCTGATATGGGAGGGAACAGAGGCCTTCAGTTCCGGGGAGGATGAGAGACGGGGTGTGACTGCCCAAGAGCAGGGCTAAGAGGGTGGCCATGGGACTGACTGCCGAGTCTAGAGTCAACTAGACGTAAGTGAAACAGGGGACATGGTTTAATTTGTATTCTAGAAGACAGGAAGGAGTGACACACTATGGTGACACACTGAGGAGAGTAAGGACAGCAAACCCTGCAGGACACAGACAGGAGAGGGAGGGACAGCAAACCCCACAGGGACACTCACAGGAGAGGGAGGGACAGCAACCTACAGGTGACCACATTGGGTAGTGCTGGAGAGGGATGGGAAATACCAAAGCAGAAGAATGAGCATCCAGAGAGGAACGAAAGAAACGATTTAATAATTTAATCGTGAGAAAATTTTTACCAAAAAGGAAAATAATAATTTTTACCCAAATTACTAGGAATTTAAAGAACTGTCTGACAGATGTCTCAAAGGGCTGGAGTGCACACCTTCACTCCACTGAACAGATACCCAGGTTCAATCCCTGAGCACCTCAGGAGTAACCTAAAATCCACAACAGAGAACAGACGTTTAAAGTGCCAGTGAATTTGGCAACACAAAGTCATTTGCACGCTTCCTCAGCAAAAGCAATGTTCACAGATAAAGGGAAAAGACTGATGAATGGAGAACCAACACGAGAAAATTCCTTCCAAAACTGTGACGAGATAAGTGCCCCATTCCCTCTCAGAAGAGCAGAAATCAACTTCATTATTTACTTTTCAGCCTTCAAAAACATGCTCTAGGTTTTTCTTCATGTAAACATTAAAACATTTCATTTATCTAGATGGTTCTAGGTGGTTCCAGAATTTTTTTTATCACTGTGTCTTCTTATAAAACAAATATAGCATCTATAGGCAGAACTACATTTTGATAACACACACATTACCTTTTTAAATGTGAATGATCATATGTATGTTTGTATTCTTAGTTTAACTGCATTTTAAACCATTCTAGCTACATCACATTTATTTCCACTATTTGCTGTCCTAGTTATTTTTTCAGAACGCAAATTATATAAATGCAAATAATTATAAAGTAGCAGGTCATACATAATCAAGAGTCAAAATGCAAAGCATAACTTACCATCTCTGAACTAGAACTGAAGTCGCTGTCTGTCTGCCTTGGAGAGTAACTGGCAGACTGACTGCTCTCCGGAGAACCAGGATCTGTAAATAAACGTTCCACAAAGAGAAAATCACGATTCACTGAAACTTTAGGTAGCCGAGAGGTCCCGTCTGACACTCCCACACAGTGACGTGTCTCTGAGGCACCGGAAACCTGTGTTTGGGTGCGGACGACCTGCATTCCCAACTGCTTGCATTTTTGGTACATTCAATGCTTAAAAGACTCCAACTGACAAATTAAATAAGGAACACAATAGTTAGACTTGTTTTTTCCCTATGTGAAACACTTTTTAATGCATAAATAATCAAGTATCAGGTTGCAGGAAGAGGAAAAAAAGCTGACTTTATTAACAAGGAATCAATTACTAAATTAGAAATAAATTTTCAGTGTGCAGTGAAGAAAGAAAGAAATATCCCATATGATATTGTTTTTCCATCTCCTTAGTAGATTCTCTCTTTTTTGTTTGTTATTTTTTTCTTTTGGGGCCACACCCGGCAATACTCAGGGTTACTCCTGGCTCTGCACTCAGGAATTACTCCTGGTGGAGCTTGGAGGACCATGTGGGATGCTGGGAATCGAATCTGGGTCAGCCATGTGCTAGACTAATGCCCTATCCGGCCCCTAGGTTCTCAAGGTGCCAGAAAAGCCTACAGGAGAGTGCCCTGGAAAGGACCTCATGACTCGCCCACATGCACAACTGCCACGAACAAGAGCATCCACAACTCTTCCTCTCATCTGTGAAAATAAGGAAACGCGAAGCAACCACCCATGCAGATCAGACAACCACCAAGGTACACGCACCAGGACTCCAACTACGTCACGCCAGAGGGCAGGACTGACGCCCTGAATCAGATCTAACCCATGAGGGAGAGAAACCACAGGGTCCCTCTCGTCCCTCCTGAGGCAGGACTGACGCCCTGAATCAGATCTAACCTTCTCAAGTGCAATACTTCTTAGGGCAGGTGTGATGCTCTCTGCAAGGTTCACTGTTACGGAACGGTATAAGGTGGTTCCTAAGAAAATCAACCAAACAAAAAACAACTGCCGGGTGATTTAGCGATCCCCCGCTGGGTCAGCAGGCAAGAGAGGAGAGCAGAGTCCCTGCGATCCTGCACGCTGCGTCACCGCAGCATCACCCACAGACGGCCACACGGTGGGAGCAAACACAGTGTCTCCTGAGTGACTGGACTCAGCACAGGCTGGCTAGGCCATCCATGACAGCAGTCACCCTTCCAGGGAAGGAAACACTGTTCCATGCTACAACAACATGGATAAGCCTTGGTGACACTGTTGTAAGTTAGAGAAACTGACCACAGAAAAAACGAGTACCGGATGCTTCCACTCAAGCGCTACCTAGATGTCTGAACCCATAAAAACAGAAAGTAGGTTGTGGCTGTGCTTGGCTGGGGTTAGGGTCTGTAGAGGTCCTAACTCTTAGGAAGGTGGATTTAACCCTTTTCCATTATAAAAATGATAAAGACAAGTTATGAATCATTTCTTATCTATGATGAATCAATACTCCTCCAAATTACTGTTACCTCCAATCACTTTTTGGGGGGTTCACACCCGGCAATGCACAGGGGTTACTTCTGTGCACTCCTGGTGGTGCTTGGAGGACCATGTGGGATGCTGGGAATCGAATCTGGGTCAGCCATGTGCTAGACTAATGCCCTATCCGGCCCCTAGGTTCTCGATGTGCCAGAAAAGCCTACAGGAGAGGAACCCTATGGGATGCTGGGAATTGAACCCAGGTCGACCGAGTGCAAGGCAAACACCCTGCCTGCTGTACTATCACTCCAGCCCCGAGTCCCAATCACTTTTATTTTAAAAAACTAGTGTGTCTAATTTCAAAATCCAAATTATACTCCCTGTAGTAATGCAGAGAATGCAGTCACACTAAGGTAGCTATAGAAACAGCTAAGGATGCCTACAGAAAAATCTTACAAAGCCATACAGATCAACTGGAGCCCTTTAAAATGCTTCAAATTTTTTCTAAATAATTACAAAAAAATCAGATTGCTTATACAGAAAGATACCCCCTGTTTTAGGTAAGTCTACCCTTAGGATGGAAATTCCTACATAGTAAGATCACACATAAAATTTCCATTTTCCTGCTAAAAGCACTACTTTGTGGGTCAGGAAAAGGCTCAAAGAAAGGGTGAAAGGCAGAGCTCCAGTGATCCCCACACACCCCAGGGTCCCCGGCAATCCCAGGGCCAGGGGCCGGTTCTGAGCTGCCCCTCAAAACAAAACAAAAACAACCAAACTCCCCAAAAGACCTTCTCTGAACTTAAACATTCATAATGATGAATGAAACAGCAACTACCATCATGGATAAATACATAGTGTATTTCACGTTCTTAGGGGGGTTTCAGTCACACCCGGGGGTGCTCAGGACTTACTCCCGGCTCTTTGCTTGGGGTCTCTCCTGGCAGAGCTCGAGGGACAACATGGGGTGCTCTCTGCACTGCTGTACTATCTCTCCAGCCCCCTAGAGTGTTTTTTCAAAATAAAAAGATTCATTTTCAATTCCTTTTTGAAATATTCTACATTAAATATCTTTAAGAAAGGCAAGGAACTAACACTCATGTTTATGTGATACACACACATACAGGCTCTATTTGGAGGGATAAGTTACACTGGAATGAAAAACTAACAAACATAATTCTTACGAAGCAGAAGAAAATCAGACAGAATAGGGTGGAGAATAATATTTTACATGTTAAAAATTAAACCAAAAGGGAGAAGGTCCTTGAAAATTTCTAGGTATCCTACTACACTAGATATCCAGGAAACTCACTCTGTCACAAAACAAAGGTGTGAGAACCTTTTGTACACAAGGATACGGTAAAGAATGAAAACACTGTTCAGATATAAAGTATTTTCTACACACCAGTACATGGGTAATCAGTATTTAGGATGTATAAAATACATACAGAATAAATACACATACACATCAGACATTTCCCACAAATAAAGCTGAAATTTCTGTAAGTAACACGGGCAACACTATGAGAGGCATTTCACAGATGAGACGGATGATCTGTCAACCTAACTACTCATCAGGGAAGTATAAAATTACAATGTGATACCAGATTTCAAACAGGCAGAAAGCTGCCCAGTGTTTCTAAGAACAGAATAGGTAACTAAGATGCTAACATCTTGCTAATGAGAGTTTAAACTGGCACAACTATCTTGGCAATAATTTTACAATGCCCTACAGAACTGAAGGCATGTATGTCATATAAGCTAGCCAGTTCTACTTCTGGGGCAACATTTTACATCTGTTATAAAACGTAAAACTGTAAGGAAAACTTTCACGAATTGCCAGGATAACATCATGTATCATCACAGAACATGCAAGATAACCTAGACAAGTTGTTGCCAGAAGATGCCTAGATAAATTGTGGTAAATGATACAAGAAAAGGCTGATAGTTACACGGAAGTACTATACAGAATCCAAGTATGAACGTGATTAACTCAAAATATATTACTTGTGAACAAAACCCTAGCAAGCTGCAGAAAAATAACATAGTCTTCCTTAATTTATAGAAATTCAGAACCAACCAACAGAGAATTAAATTTAAATAACAGCAGAAAGTGTGAAGGGGCAGAATAGAAAAGGCAGCTGGGAGGGTCTCTACTGGCCACACAGTGTTTCTGGGTGTTTCTGCAAAGTGGATGAAGTGATCTGTACTATTAGTGAACTGTACCCATACATTTATAAACACGTTAAAATGTAAATGACCAATTACATTACTAGTACATATGCTAAGATATAGATGAAACATCTCTGATAAAGATACGTTGCAAATCTTAAAATTTTAGCTTATTTCTATTTCAATATAGAATCCTAAGAGAATGAAATCTGCTGATACGGTCCCCTACCTTTCATATAGCGTGAGCATCCTCCTCCCATCGGAGTCTGGAAGAAAAACAACATTTTGACTGCTAGCTCTGAAAACACGTATTCCTGTCACCCCTAACCCCAGCTCCTTTGGCAGTTCTCAGCCTTCATATTACTTTAAAGCCACGACCATTAGTCGATTGCCTCGAGCAGGCCCCAGTAACGTCTCCTTCATCCTAGCCCTGATATTTTTAAGAAAGTGCTATATTCAAGGCTCTTTAGGAGAATGAGACCCATCATTGTTACTGGTATTTGGCATATTGGGTACGCCATGGGGAGTTTGCCAGACTCTGCCATGTGGGCAGGTTACATTCGGTAGCCTGCCAGTTTGTCCAAAGTAGGAATGAGATAATAAGATGTCATAGTAAGATGTCGCGCGGCCACTGAGACCATTCTCCGCACACCTGAAGGTACCGGCAGAGGAACAAAGGCAAGCGGGTCCGCCCGGGGCTGAGATCTCCAAGCCTACTCGGATCAGGGCTGAGCATCCTCCACCCAGATCCTCCGAATTCCAGTAGGTGGGGGTCACACCCACCAACTGGCCCCCTGGCGCCGTGTAATCCCATCAATGGCCAAGACTTTAAAGCCACAAAGAAAAATTTTTCTGCAACAGACAATAGAACAAAATTTGGACTGACTTAGATGCAAGAAGCAATAAACACTTGCTAAGAAATGGATTACTAGCCTGCTAATATAGTAAGACCAGTTCCATTTCTTTTTGTTTCTGTCCATCTAAGGGGTGTGAGCCAGGTGGAGTGGGGGGGTACCAGGACACACCCAGCAGGGCAGGGGACGTACAAGGACCCCGCCCAGGGCTCTGCACGTGCTCGGTGTGTATTCTGCCGGCTGAGCTATCTCCCCAGCCTCTATTCTGCTTTTAAAATATACAAGTTCTTAAAGTACTAGTTTTCAATGACCATATTAATTTTTTAATTATTTTTAAAAATTTATTGAATTATCATGAGATACACAGTTATAAAGTTGTTCATGTACAATCACTTATTAATGGAGAAGGCAAAAAGATTAACTGGCAGCATCAAAAATAAAACATAAAGCACACTGAAAACTTTTTTCAACTTAAGACAGTTATAAATGTAAATTTATACAGAAGTTGCTTTATGTAAGTTTAATATCCAAAACAAAAACGTATAGTAGATAAACGAAAGAGAAAGAAATTAGAAACCAATAAAAAATCAAATCAAAAAAGGAATAAAAGAATAGAATACAGGAGTTACAGAACAGAAAACAACGAACTAAGTAATGAAAGTTCATCCCATAGAATTACTGGAAATAGAAATGGACCAAATGCCCCACAAGAGAGGCCAGCTGAATGGACAAGGACATCTGCATGCTGCTTATAATGCAGCTCACTGGAGATTTAGACACAGACTGAAATGAAGATGGGCAAAGACACTCCTTGCAAGCTGAGTATTAGCTGATATATAGCTATATGTCACTGTCCTCCCATTGTTCATCAATTTGCTCGAGCAGGCACCAGTAACATCTCACAACAAATTGTGAGACTTGTTGTTACTGTTTTTTGGCAAATCGAATACATCATGGGTAGCTTGCCAGGCTTTGCCGTGTGGGCGAGATACTCTCGGTAGCTTGCCAGGCTCTCCAAGAGGGGTACAGGAATCGAACCTGGGTCGGTCACATGCAAGGCAAACGCCTTACCCGCTGTGCAATGGCTCCAGCCCACAGCTATATGTATACCAGATAAAATGGCAAAGAGACTATGCTGAGACCAAAAAAAGGGCAACTGTACAATAAAAGTGGATCCAACATTGGAATGAACCATCTGTAGCTCCTACATACTACATACAGTACCACCTGAAAACAAAGCAAACAGGGACAGAAACTGGCAGGAAGGACTGACTGCCATCCAGATGGAAAGCCCTGGCCATAAATAAAGCCCTGGCACCCTAGACCAGCCAGACTGAACAGGCATACGCACACTTCCTCTATTCACCCACATCTCAAGCACACACTGAGCATTCTCAAGGACAAGCATACACTGCTGCTCCCTTTTCGAAACTGTTCCCTGTCAGTGATCAGACTCAGGGCACCAAGCAAGAAGGGCCCTTGTTCTGCTGCTGAGCGACATCCTGATCCAAAACGACAGCAGAGGTTACAACAAATCTTAGTCAATTTAAAAATATTGAAACCAGAGAGCAAAATGCTGCAAAGATGTCTCCGGATTCCGTGCCAGGCTATCTCATTTGGGGCAACCTGGGGGTGCAGGGGTGAACCCCTCCAATTGCCCCAACAGAGCCCGGCAGCCAAAACCTGCAGAACTCAATCGCCATCATGCGCGTGCTCCTCAGGCTTGGATGAGCCTCATCCATGAGTGAATCTCCTGAAAAGCTCAGGTATGTGGGACTTCTAACTGAACTCACGGCCATGATCCAGGGACTCACTAATAACTCTCAGAAGAGAGCAACACGAGAACAACAGGCCAGAGAGATGCCTCTGGACCCCAAGGTCACCACTTATCACTTAACTTCCCGTTAGTCATCGATTTGCTCGAGCGGGCGCCAGTAACATCTCCATTTGTCCCTGTCGCGTGCTAGTGTAGCCCAATGGCATCTGTTTGCTCCGGGAACATAAAGGGCCTCAAACCGATCCTTCATGATCTTGACGAAGAAGTCTGACCATCTGGAAGGTGGGCGGCCACGCGGTCTTTTGACATCCCGTGGAATCCAGTCAGTAACAGCTCTAGTCCAGTGGTCGTCTTTAAATCTCATTACATGACCAGCCCATCTTGGCAAAAGAGACAGCGTCCCTGATCCTTGATCGTCGACGGATGTCAGAACTCCGGATTCTTTCTCTCATTTGAGTGAAATGTGATATTCCAAGCATAGCTCTTTCTATTCTTCTTTGGGAGACCTGAATAGCGTTCTCATCTTGTTTGCGTAGGGCCCAGGTCTCTGAGGCATATGTTGATGCAGGAAGAACAGTGGAATCAAAGAGATGTGCCCGGAGCCGGAGGTTCTTCATCCTCTTAGCTATTTCTTCGACGTTCTTGAAGGTGTTCCAAGCCGCTCTCTTCCTCCTGCGCAGCTCGGGTGCCAGGTCATTTGTCATGTTGACCTCTCGACCTAGGTACACATAGCTGTTGCATTCGGAGATGGTCGTTCCATTGAGAGCAAATGGGGCGTCAGGAACGAGGCTGTTTCTCATAAACATTGTCTTCGTAAGATTCAGCTGTAGTCCTACCTTTCCACACTCACGGTCAAAGTCGGCCAGCATTTGTGCCGCTTGGCTGATGTTTGGTGTTATTAAAACAATGTCATCAGCAAAGCGGAGGTGGTGTAGTTGCCGACCATCTATCTTCACTCCCATTCCTTCCCATTCCAGTCGTCGCATGATGTTCTCGAGGGTGGCACTGAAGAGTTTCGGTGAAATGGTATCACCCTGCCGCACCCCTCTCTTGACATCAAAGATCACTTCTTTGTAGAATGGTGAGATCCTGGTAGTGAATCCGCAATACAGCTCACGGAGGATCCTGATGTATTGGGCTTGAATGCCCTGATTGGCTAGGGCTTCAATGACCGCTTCCGTCTCAACAGAATCAAAGGCCTTCTTTAAATCAATGAATGTTAAACAGAGCGGCATCTTGAACTCCCGAGAAACCTCAATGAGCTTGGTTATCGTGTGGATATGGTCGATGGTGCTGAATCCTTTGCGGAACCCGGCTTGCTCGCATGGTTGTCCTTCATCTTGTGTTCTGCCAATCCTATTTAGGATGACTCGAGTGAACAACTTGTAGATGACAGACAATAGGCAGATCGGGCGATAGCTGCCAATGTCATGGATGTCTCCCTCCTTGAACAGTAGTACGGTCCTGCTGGTTTTCCATTGGGACGGAACCTTGCATTCAGACAGGTAGCGAGTGAAGAGCCGAGCCAGCATATTGATGAGTACTGGCGGCAGGTTCTTCAGGTGTTCAGGTCTGACCTTGTCTGGGCCGGGTGCTGTTTGTTTCTTTACCGACGAAATGGCGTGTCGGATTTCGGAAGGGAGAACGTTGGGAACGACATATCCATCCTGTGGAATTTGGTATGTTGGCAAGTGGACATGGCTATCGAAGAGATTTGAGTAGAAGTCATGGATAATCTTCTCCATTGCCATTCTGGAGGATGTGATGGATCCATCAGGACGTCGGAGGGCAGTCATCTTGGTCTTATAGTTGGCGAAGGACAGGCGGGCGTTACGAATACTTTTCCCGGCTTCTGCCGCATCTACCAGTACTTCTGCTCTTCTCTCTTTGAGGTCTTCCTTGATCGCATCTCTGCACTGCTTTGCGAGCTCGGACGTTAGCTTGCGGTTTCCTGAGGCATGCGCCAAACCACGCTGGCGAATTAGCTCAAGAGTTTTCGAAGATAGGCGATTTTTTGTGGCTATCTCTCTCTTGGTGTTCCTCGCACATTCATGGAGGTGCTGAACCAGTCAATCGTATTCCTCGTCAATGTTGTCAACAATGGCATCTTCCCATGTTGCCGCAATAGTACCAAAGAGTTCCCAGTTGGTGGTCATTCCGGGAGTTCTCTTTTTGAACTTTGCAGCCCTTTCTCCCCGCTCTGTGAAGTAGAATTTTGCACCAAGAAGATGGTGGTCCGATCCCGTTCGAAATTTTGGGACAACAGCGACATCAGTCAGGCAAAACCGTCGATTGAATATGATGTGGTCTATTTCATTGTGGAATCGTCCACCGGGAGACTCCCATGTCCAACGTTTAGATTCTGCCTTCTGGAACTGTGAGTTACCATGAATGGTCTTGGTCGACATGATGAACTCAGACAGTCTCTCACCCTGTTCGTTCCATTCTAGGCCATGGGTCCCGATGTGAAGTTCTTCAGCTGATCTTCTCGGTCCTATCTTGGCATTAAAATCACCCACAATGATCTTGTAGAAGGTGTGGTCTTCTTTATAGAACTTCTCTAGCTCCATGTAGAACTTCTCGATTTCCCTTTCATCATAATGAGATGTTGGTGTGTAGACAACGAAGATAGAAACTGCAGGCAGTGAGCCACATCTATTCAAATGTAAACGTCTGATTTGGGTTGTTAGGCATTCGAATGAATCAATGCTCTTGGCCAAGTTTGTGTTGACAAGGACACCAACGCCTCCAACACCTCTTTTATCGCATGTTCCGAGGAACAATTCTTCTCCAGTGTCGAAAACGGCATGGTGAGATTCGTGCCTTCTTGTCTCGGTCAGACCAATGATGTCATACTTGATCATTCGCGCTTGTACGATCAGGTCCTCGATGGATGCATCTGATGCTAGCGTACGTGCATTGAAAGTACAGACGATCATTTTTGTCTTCCTTCGTTGTGGCAGCCTAGTTCGGCCTTGAGATTTTGTCGGCCTCTCCTTTTTCATCCTTCTCAGTGCTGCCATGTCGGTGAAGCCTTCAGGGTCAGGTGAATGAGACCAGTTGTAGTTACTGGTTTTGGCATATCGAATACACAGCGGATAGCTTGCCAGGCTCTTCCGTGCGGGCGGAATACTCTCGGTAGCTTGCCAGTCTTTCCGAGAGGGATAGAGGCTTTTTGGGCGACCTCTAATCACCATGGTAGGTGTTACCATATTTGAACCTTATCAAATATGGTACGACAATTCCAGAAGATGGGTATTTAGTGTCTTATGATGTATCGCGCGGCCGCTCCGGCCGAGACCCATGCACGACTGAAGACCCACAGAACAAGATAAGCGGAACTCTCTGAGACCTTGGACTCCAGGCTTGGCGGACCCAGGGACAGAGCTTCTCTGCTTGCTCCCACCACCACAGGTGACAAAGGGATTCTAATCAGGAGCCCCACCCTACCCTGCCCTGTCTGCTTCCATCAACCACCCAGGGATCGAATTGTGCACAGGAGACCCACCCTACCCAGATAAATACCCCACTGGCAGACTTCCACTCTCGACACTACTTCCACTACCCAGCCGTCGCCACACTCCAGGACGCTTTCCAAGGTTACCATCCAGTTAAAAAAATTTTTTTAATTAACTCAGCTGTATCACTGTGGTAAAATTTTAGAATTCTTAAAGTCCACAGCCACATTTGCAGCCATGTGGCATCTCATACTCTACGCCACTGATGTGCCAAAAGCAGCACGCCACATTTGAATAACATATATATTGGCACACAGGACTCAGCTTTTAACAGCCATGTTAGTAATCTGGTATACAAGGGCTTAATGGGTGCAGGATGAAATATAACAATCTTCACACACTTTCCTCTAAGGAAACTTCTTTTGATCATTTTTAGTGAATTATTCATAACAAGCAATACAAAATAAATTAGAGCCTGCTCTGGGGGCAGGCTTTGGGGTCGGGGTAGAAAAATTTGAAATGTGGTGGTGGGAAGGTATAAAAGCATGCTTCCTGTTCTGGTGTCTCTGTAGCTTGCAGAATCTCAACAGAGAATAGCAACTTCACCGCAACCAAAACTATGCGGTGGTGGTTGCTGTTTATCATCCATCATATGCAAGTGTGTTTGTAGCGATAGTCAATCAACATCTATTAAATCAGTTCATTATCTGTGCTCAATGTACACTTCAATTAAGGATAAAAAGAGGAAGCAATTGCCACAGTTAAAATATAGTCAGAAGAAGTGAATCCTCATTCAAGTTTGTGATCCTGGAAGACTCAACTCAGTCTCAACTCAGTCTCCCTTCTCGAAAGTGTCCTCAGAGTCAGGCTCTGTGACCTGGGAGGAAGTTAGCAGAGCCCAAACCACAAGCGAACAAGCACCCTCAGGGAATGGGGTTGGGACAAGCACGCTCACGGAAGGGGTTGGGAAAAGTACTCAGGGAAAGGGGTGGAAACAAGCACACTCATGGAAGGGGTTGTGACTTACATAGAGGACCTTTAAAGATATTTCAGTATGTAACTATTCTTCATCTGTAGCCCACTGAAACCTAAAGAATTTTCATCTTGCAGGTAATTTTATAGGGCTTAAGGGATTTTAAACTGGAGCCCGAGAGAGAGCACAGAGGTGAGTGTGCCGTGTGTGCAGCTCTTCCTGACTGGCTCCTGGTGTCACACAGTCCGCAGACCACTGCCACGCTCACTCCTGGGAAGAGGGCCAGAGTGGCACTGAACACTGCAATGTGGCCCAGCACACCCCCCCCCCAAGGAAATTAAATAGAGATCAGTCTTCCCAAATTAGGCATATTATGGTATCTGAAAATTTAATTCTACATCTAAACTGTCATTTCCCCAGGGGAAAACATATGAAAGAAATACAACTGACTTAACTGGAAAGATAATGAAAGCTGTACTTTACCTCGCCAAGTCCAAAGTCCCATGGAAGCTTAGGATGCACTTCTTCCAAAGGATTATTCCCCCTAGGGTCACAAAGAAAACAGTGCTCAAGTGCCTGTTCCCTCTGAAAACTGCTTCCAAATTAAGGCTCCCGGAGTTGGTCGAAGATCAGAATTATACGGGGAGCTTCCATAATACGGATTCCTAAGCTCCATCCTAAGGAACCAATTTATTACATGAGTGTCAAACTTGACTACTAGGAGTCAGAGAGAAAGCACAGAGATTGAAGTGCTGCAAGTGGCTGACCCACCACAGACCGTTCTCTGACACTTGCAGGGGTCACTCCCAAGCACAGAGTTAGGAATAGTTCCTGAGCACTGCTGGGTGTGGTCCCAAAATAAAACAACAGCAACAAAAGTAAACTTTAATTTTAAATTCAACCCCTTAAGTTTGAGTATAATGTTCTAAATCACATTCATAAAATATCACTGTTTCACTGTCATACTATTGTTCATCAATTTCCTCGAGCAGGCACCAATAACATATCCTTCGTCCTAGCCCTGAGATTTTAGAAAGTGCCACATTCGAGGCTCTTTCAGGGTGAGAAGAATGAGACCCATCACTGTTACGGGGTTTTGGCATATTGAATATGCCACGGATGCCACGGGGAGTTTGTCAGACTCTGCCGTGTGAGCAGAATGCTTTCAGTAGCCTGCCGGGTTCTCCAGAGTCAGAACTAGATAATAAGATGTCACGCGGCTGCACGTATTTAAAGTCATAAAATATGTGACTTTAAAATTTAAATATTTAAAAATTGAAAGGTCTAATATGAAATTTTTCATTCCTAAATTTCTGACATTTGGAGAATATTCAACAGAAACTAATTTGCTGGTTTTATCAAGTAAGCTATGAATCTCCTTTTATTTTTTAAAAAATTTAATAAATGTTTTTATTTTTAATTTTTATTAGTGAAACACCATGAGGTACAGTTGTAGACTAACAAATTTTTGTGCTTGGGTTTCAGTTATACAATGATCAAATACTCATCCCTCCACCAGTGCCCATTCTCCACCACCAATGATCCCAGTATCCCTCCCACTCCCCAATCACCCCATCCTCCCCCGCCTCTGTGGCAGGGCATTCCCTTTTGTTCTCTCTTATTGGGTGTTGTGGTTTGCAAAAGTAGCATTGGGTGGCAATCATGTTCGGTCTATAATCTACTTTCAGCATGCATTTCCCATCCTGGGAGGATCCTCCCAACACCCTTTACTTGGTGCTCCCTTCTCTATCTGAGCTGCCTTTTCCCCTAGCATGTGTGGCTGGCCTCCAAGCCATGGAGTGAACCTCCTGGTATTTATCTTGGCTATTCTTGGGTGTTAGTCTCCTATTTTGTTACTTTATGTTGCCCAGATGAATGCAATCTTTCTATGTCTGTCCCTCTCTTTATTACTCATTTCACTTAGCATGATACTTCCCATGTAGCACCACTTGTATGTAAATTTCATGACTTCATTCTTTCTAACAGCTGCATAGTACTCCCTTGTGTAGATGTACCAAAGTTTCTGTAACCAGTCATCTGTTCTCGGGCACTTGGGCTTTTTCCAGATTTTGGCTATTGTTAACAGTACAGCAATGAACATAGAAGTGCAGATGTCATTTCGACTGTACTTTTTTACCTCTCCGGGATATATTCCAAGGAGTGGTATTGTTGGGTCAAATGGGAGCTCAATTTCTAATTTTTTGGGAATCATCCAAACTGTTTTCCAAAAGGGCTGAACCAGTCGGTATTCCCAACAGCAGTGATGGGGAGTTCCTTTCTCGCCCCATCCATGCCAACACCATTTGCTTTTGATCTTTTGGCTGCGGGCCAGTCTCTGTGGTGTGAGATGGTATCTCATTGTTGTTTTGATCTTCATCTCCCTGATGATTAGTGATGCAGAGCATTTTCTCATGAGCCTTTTAGCCATTCGGATTTCTTCTTTGAGAAAGTTTCTGTTCATCACCCCATTTTTTAATGGGTCCAGAAAGCGTCCTGGAGTGTGGCGACGGCTGGGTAGTGGAGGTAGTGTCGATAGTGGAAGTCTGCCAGTGGAGTATTCATCTGGGTAGGGTGGGTCTCCTGTGCGCAATTCGATCCCTGGGTGGTTGATGGAAGCAGACAGGGCAGGGTAGGGTGGGGCTCCTGATTAGAATCCCTTTGTCACCTGTGGTTGGTGGGAGCAAGCAGAGAAGCTCTGTCCCTGGGTCCGCCGAGCCTGGAGTCCAAGGTCTCAGAGAGTTCCGCTTATCTTGTTCTGTGGGTCTTCAGTCATGCATGAGTCTCGGCCAGAGCTGCCACGCGGGTCCGGAAAGCGTCCTGGAGTGTGGCGACGGCTGAGTAGTGGAAGTAGTGTTGGGCTGCAAAGTTCAAAAAGAGAACTCCCAGAACGACCACCAACTGGGAACTCTTTGGTACTATTGCGGCAACATGGGAAGATGCCATTGTTGACAACATTGACGAGGAATACGATTGACTGGTTCAGCACCTCCATGAATGTGCGAGGAACACCAAGAGAGAGATAGCCACAAAAAATCGCCTATCTTCGAAAACTCTTGAGCTAATTCGCCAGCGTGGTTTGGCGCATGCCTCAGGAAACCGCAAGCTAACGTCCGAGCTCGCAAAGCAGTGCAGAGATGCGATCAAGGAAGACCTCAAAGAGAGAAGAGCAGAAGTACTGGTAGATGCGGCAGAAGCCGGGAAAAGTATTCGTAACGCCCGCCTGTCCTTCGCCAACTATAAGACCAAGATGACTGCCCTCCGACGTCCTGATGGATCCATCACATCCTCCAGAATGGCAATGGAGAAGATTATCCATGACTTCTACTCAAATCTCTTCGATAGCCATGTCCACTTGCCAACATACCAAATTCCACAGGATGGATATGTCGTTCCCAACGTTCTCCCTTCCGAAATCCGACACGCCATTTCGTCGGTAAAGAAACAAACAGCACCCGGCCCAGACAAGGTCAGACCTGAACACCTGAAGAACCTGCCGCCAGTACTCATCAATATGCTGGCTCGGCTCTTCACTCGCTACCTGTCTGAATGCAAGGTTCCGTCCCAATGGAAAACCAGCAGGACCGTACTACTGTTCAAGGAGGGAGACATCCATGACATTGGCAGCTATCGCCCGATCTGCCTATTGTCTGTCATCTACAAGTTGTTCACTCGAGTCATCCTAAATAGGATTGGCAGAACACAAGATGAAGGACAACCATGCGAGCAAGCCGGGTTCCGCAAAGGATTCAGCACCATCGACCATATCCACACGATAACCAAGCTCATTGAGGTTTCTCGGGAGTTCAAGATGCCGCTCTGTTTAACGTTCATTGATTTAAAGAAGGCCTTTGATTCTGTTGAGACGGAAGCGGTCATTGAAGCCCTAGCCAATCAGGGCATTCAAGCCCAATACATCAGGATCCTCCGTGAGCTGTATTGCGGATTCACTACCAGGATCTCACCATTCTACAAAGAAGTGATCTTTGATGTCAAGAGAGGGGTGCGGCAGGGTGATACCATTTCACCGAAACTCTTCAGTGCCACCCTCGAGAACATCATGCGACGACTGGAATGGGAAGGAATGGGAGTGAAGATAGATGGTCGGCAACTACACCACCTCCGCTTTGCTGATGACATTGTTTTAATAACACCAAACATCAGCCAAGCGGCACAAATGCTGGCCGACTTTGACCGTGAGTGTGGAAAGGTAGGACTACAGCTGAATCTTACGAAGACAATGTTTATGAGAAACAGCCTCGTTCCTGACGCCCCATTTGCTCTCAATGGAACGACCATCTCCGAATGCAACAGCTATGTGTACCTAGGTCAAGAGGTCAACATGACAAATGACCTGGCACCCAAGCTGTGCAGGAGGAAGAGAGCGGCTTGGAACGCCTTCAAGAACGTCGAAGAAATAGCTAAGAGGACGAAGAACCTCCGGCTCCGGGCACATCTCTTTGATTCCACTGTTCTTCCTGCATTAACATATGCCTCAGAGACCTGGGCCCTACGCAAACAAGATGAGAACGCTATTCAGGTCTCCCAAAGAAGAATAGAAAGAGCTATGCTTGGAATATCACGTTTCACTCAAATGAGAGAGAGAATCCGGAGTTCTGACATCCGTCGATGATCAAGAATCAGGGACGCTGTCTCATTTGCCAAAGTGTCAAAGATCAGATGGGCTGGTCATGTAATGAGATTTAAAGACGACCACTGGACTAGAGCTGTTACCGACTGGATTCCACGGGATGTCAAGAGACCGCGTGGCCGCCCACCTACCAGATGTCAGACTTCTTCGTGAAGATCATGAACGATCGGTTTGAGGCTCTTCATGTTCCTGGAGTGAACAGATGCCATTGGGCTACACTAGCACGCGACAGGGACAAATGGAGACGCTACTGGCGCCTGCTCGAGCAAATCGACGACTAACGGCAAGTTAAGTGATTAAGTGATTAATTTCTGCTCTAAGTTTTATTATTTCTTTCCTTCGGCTAAGTTTTGATTCCTTTTGTTGGTCTTTTTCTAAGATCTTGAGGTCAGGTTATCTATGTAGGCCCTTTCTTCCTTCCTTCCTTAGGAATGCTTGCAAAGCTATAAATTTTCCTCTTAACATGGCTTTAGCTGCGTCTCATAGGTTCTGGTAGCTCCTGTCTTCATTCTCATTTGTTTCCAGGTATCTTTTGATTTCGTCCTTGACTTCCTTCCTAACCCACTTGTTGATCAACATTGAGTTGTTTAATTTTCAGGTGTTTCTCGGTGTCTTTGTGTGATTCTCTTCTGTCTTCAGTGCATCATAGTCTGAAAAGATTGTTGATACTATCTTACTGATTCCATTGAGGTATGTTTTGTGGCCTAACACATGGTCTATTTTGATGAATGTCCTTTTAAATCATATCCATCTGTGGTGGGAAAGAGAACCCTGGGTAAGGGTGGAAGGGTCATGCCACTGGCAGTGGGCAGAATAAAACAGTAATGTCAGTTACTATACCATGAAAGTTTTTTTTTAATATCTCTATAACAAAGTACTTCCAGGGGCAAGTGTTATAGTTCAGTGGTGAAGTGAGGATACATGTGAGACCCTGGTTTCCATCCATGGCATTACAAATAAAGTACTTTCAGAGTAAAAGTGTGTTCTAGCCCGTGATTTTCAACCAGATGATTTAATTCACTCTGATGAAAAGATGTAGTTTCAAAGCTACTCTGAAACTACAGGTTTCCTTTCCCTATAAAGTGCAGCCACATAAACTAGGGTCTGATTATGCTGCTGACTTCCGAACTCATTTTCTCCTCTGGCTCTCTACCAACCAAGCAACCTGCTCACGTTAGGTCAGTGAAAGTCAGGAAACATGCTGTGTAGGAACATCTGCTGGCATATCGCCTTCAAAATTTTTTGTGTAAACTGATTGACAATGAGGGTGAGTATATGAAGTTTCTTGAACATATCAGTCAATTTCCCCAAATCTAATTCCACTAAGACTCAGATAAGGTATGTTCCAGTGGAATCTGAGTGAGTGCCCTCAGTAAGGCTGCCAAGACCCTCCCAAGCAGAGGTCTCCTCTGGGGCCAGCCGTGCAGGTTCACACATCACTGTCCCTACCTCACTCTGAGTAGCAACACCTCTAACACACAGTACCTGATTGTACCGAGAACTTACATGCAGTGCAGCGGATATTTCAGGGGGGAGTTCTGAGGCATTTTTTCTTGGCAATCATTTCCAAATATCCCTTTAAAAATAAAAGTGTCCATCAGACTAAAAAGTGAACATAGGCTTTAAAAAGTATACATCTGTACCCTATTCTCATGATCCTAATATAAGGAACCACTAATCCACAAGTCACACACCAGAAGATCATACTATTTCCATATTCTTCCAGATACATACGACTACCTGCATGCATACATGAACACAATATGCCCCGTAGGGTGCACCCTTTCCAACGTAACACAAACCGTTTTGAGAGTTCGCTGGGTAAGAGTCTTTCTGAAGGAATGTGCCATGCTGATTCACTTTATTATTGCTGTACTCTCTCTGATAGGTCCTGTTTGACCAACACTTTTCTGGATAAATTTTTTCCTTAGGAGTAGAAGTACTAAAAGTCAACTCTGGCCCAGTAAAAATCCGACTAATGCAACTGTCAGTGGAACGGCTATTACCACAACTAACTGCTGCATGAACACCCCTCATGCAGTCAAAGGTTGTCTTGACTGTTTGTTGGTCTACATTTAATAAATTGATCAGATTTGGACTAATGAAAGAGTCACAATTTTTTGACAGGAGACTTGGAGTTGGCTGGTTCATATATTCAAGAAAATTTGGAGCATCTTTTGCATTCTCTGCCCAGAAGCTCTGTGCAAGATTCTTGTCAGTAAGAAGGTCTGACTGTCTTCGCTCCTTCAAGCTTCCACCACCTTCACTGGTAACCTCAGGTCTCCCAAAGAGATCCCTGTTTCCTGGACTGTGAGAAAAAACATATTTAGCAAGAACAGCTTTTCATTCAACTTGAAAATATTTTAAGTAGTAACTAACACTTGGGCTGGAGCGATAGCATGGCGGGTAGGGCATTTGCCTTGCACACAGCCAACATGGCCGACCCGAGTTCAATTCCTCTGCTCCTCTTGGAGAGGCCGGCAAGCTACCGAGAGTATCTCGCCCACACGGCAAAGCCTGGAAAGCTACCCATGACGTATTTGATAAGCTAAACACAGTAACAAGTCTCACAATGTTACTGGGCCCACTCAAACAAATCAATGAACAACGGGAGGACAGTGACAGTGACAGTGAACTAACACGTACCTAGTCTCAGTCAGATAAAGAGAATAAACACCATATAACTTCACTCATATGTGGTACATATAGAAACCAATGAGTGAACTAAATGAACAAAATAAACTTTAAGACACAACTAGTGATAACCAGAAGGACAGGGAATGGAGAAAGGATGTAGGAAAGTGGCAAAGGGGATTATTCACACAATGAAGATTAAAAACTAAGCTTTTAGAGGAAAGTACAAGGATGGTATCCACCAAAAATGCTGAAAAATAATGCTGTACACTGAATCTTACATACTAGAAACCACGGTCCCCTCAACACTTATTTTCAAAGGCACAACTTAGGGCCAGAGAGATAGTATAGAGTTTAAGGTGCTTGCCTTGCATGCAGCTGAACCCAGTTTAACCCCTGCACTGCATATGGCTCCATGATCACTACCAGGAGTGACCCCTGAACACTGAGCCAGGAATAGATCTGAGTACCAACAGAGTGCCCCTCCCCCCCCCCAGTAAAACTAGTAAGACACAGTTCAGGGCCAGAGAGAGCTAGTACAGGAGGTGCGGTGCTTGTGGCTGTGGTGGCTGGACCCTGGGGCAATCCCCTGCCCCATGCATGAGCCTCTGAATCCCGCATGGCTCCAAAATAAACAAAAGATTTAGTTCAGAAAAGCACAATAAAGATTTTAAATTGTAATAAGGGAAAACTAACAGACTGAAATTACAAAAAAAAAAAGATGGAAATCTACATCTACACAAAATAATGGAGAGAACAATAAAAGATAAGCTTGTGCTCAAAAATAAAAACCATGCTATTCACAGCAATGTGGATGAAATCAGATACCGTGCTAAGTGAAGTAAAACAGAAGGACAAACACCCGATGATAGCACTGATGTGTGGTATTTAGAATAACTGGATGAGGGGATGCAACGTTTTAAAGAGGGGATGCCCAAAGCAACCTTGGCCCTACAGAACACAGGGAGTGGAAGAGAAGGGGAGGGGCGAGGAGAAGAGAGAGATGAAAGTTCTGGGAAGTAACAGAACCGTGACATGATGTGGAAAAAAGTCACTGCCACCAGTTCTTTTCCAGTCCCAAATCACAAAACAGACCTCTTTTCAGATGCAGGAACGGGAGTCCACTATGAGCAAGTGGCAGTCAGAGAAAGGCGGATCCCTGGCAGAAGAGAAACTCCAGCCCTAAAATACAAATATGAAGGAAGACCCCCAGAGGCTGAAGTCCTTCACTATGAAACACCCGGCAGTAACACCTATCTGCAGAGACATGAGGCTGTGCCAGACTTCCAGACCCTTCTGTCTCTCTCTGTCTCTCTCTGACTCTCTCCCTCTCCCCCTCCCCCCTCACAGCCTGTTCTCTCTCAGACATGAGATCTTCTGTTTATTTCCTGGTTTCTTTAGGGGCCACACCCAGAGGTGCTCAGGGCTGACACTCAGGGCCCACACTCAGGGCTCTGGGGGCTGCACAGTGGTGGGCTGGGACCCAGGCCCGCCACACTCTCTCCCTGCCACTGCGTCTCCTCCTAACACTATTTCCTGGCAAGTAGGGCGCCATCTGGAAAGCGGCTTGGGTCAGCGTGACTTCTTTCTCGTGGCAGGGATAGGCGCCATACCACGGTGTGGTGTGACCACTGCCTGGTGGGCCCGGTGAAACTTGAGCACCCCCACTTCCACCCGGGTCCTCGTGTCCCAGGCATGGAACTCCCCAAGTCCAGTGAAGCGGGAGAGCCGCGGCACTTTAGGGTACTGCCTCCTCCCTACCCTCCACGCCTCACACCAGCAGCACGTGAAAATCAGACACGTTATGGTAAAGAGAACTTCACGGAGATTATGGAAAAGGTACAAAACACCTTAGCACCTTAACAAAACACTGTTTTAAATACAGATAGACAGCACAGTGGACAGGGTGTTTGCATTACACAGGGATAACCCAGGTTCGATCCAGCATCCCACATGGTCCCTCAAGCACTGCCAGGAGTAATTCTTGAACACAGAGCCAGGAGTAATCCTGAGCACTGCCACATGTGGCCCCAAAACCAAAAACAAAGGAAAAGTAGACATATACACTAGAGAGTAATTACTTAAAGTGGTTTTAATTAAATACTTCATTTTACTTTATTCCCCCCAGAAGAGTTCTTTTTATCATATCCTGTTTCTAACTGAAATTACTTTTGCCCAATAAATGAAATTAATAACCTTAAAAAATGTTACAACTTCTTTATTTCCTTCAACAACTTTGCTTACCTGTTTAAACTTTCAAATGATGTTCCAGATTGCACAGTCTTGTAAGATGAACTGAGGACATCTCTACTGTCATATAATTTGGAAGCCAAGGAATTAGAATAATTAACATTACTAAGCTGGAAACAGAAAAAAAAGAAAATGTCAAAATGATCAATGCAATATAGTTTGTATGTTTTGCCATGAAATCCATTTAAGGGAACACATCCATTCAAAATATGTAATTTTTATTCTAAAATTGGATGCCCTTATTGAAAACAAAACCATATTCTAAAAATGAACATAATATCAATATGTGAATGATTGCTTAAAAATATAGTTGATACTCTGTTGAGCTAACCACTTTCTCTAAAATAAAAGAAAAGCAAAGATTATGGAAAATACCAAGGACACCAGGATAGCTAGTAAATTAAAGATGCATTCTGACTGAAAATAATGGTTTCTCCCAAGGAAATAGCTTTACTTGCTCAGTTCTCCTATCTAGTAATTTTTACTGCTATTAAAATTTTTTGGGGGGGGCGAAGCGATAGCACAGCAGGTAGGGTGTCTGCCTTGCACGCGGCCGACCCGGGTTCAATCCCCGGCATCCCATATGGTTCCCCAAGCACTGCCAGGAGTAATTCCTGAGTGCAAAGCCAGGAGTAACCCCTGAGTATTGCTGGGTGTGACCCCAAAAAGCAAAAAAAAAAATTTTTTTTCTGAATAAGAATATGCAAAATGGATAAATAATATGAAGATGTATACAATAATGTGATAATTCACTTTTTAATGTGGAAGGTCCTATTTAAATATAAGGTATCATAGGCTATCACGGATCTGACAATGATATATTTATGTATATAACACATTTTATTTATAAACCACAAACAGAAATGAGAAGCCCAGAGACAACCAATGACAAATATTTTTAAAAAAAAGCCAAAACCATACTGCAAGCACTTTTTACACGGGGTAAGCCATAAGCCTGGGGAACCTGGGAATCACGTCTCCCGACTCGTCTGACCCTGAAGACACTGGCAGCTGTGCCAAGACACAGGCATCCTGGCCCCAGAAGCACAAGGACTTAATGCAGAACCCAGCAGCTTGGAGCAGAAAAGTAAACGGACTATGCATTGACCCAGGCCATCAAGTCTGCTGGAGGGGAAAGGGTGTTGCCCCATTCGCCCTCTCCTCTCTGGAAAGAAAGATGGCGGCCACATAGGAGCCTTGTGGACAGCAGGTATGAGCCGGGAGTGTGGGGGCGACTAAAACCTCATGGGAAGGGGGGCGTTCCGGTCCGTCCTTCACGCCCTACCGAGGTCACCAGTTGCCCCCCACGAGCGGCTCTCCAGCACGGCCACAGCCCCAGAAGCACAAGGGCTTAATGCAGAACCCAGCAGCTTGGAGCAGAAAAGTGAACGGACTATGCATTGATCCAGGCCATCGAGTCTGCCGGAGGGGAAAGGGTGTTGCCCCATTCGCCCTCTCCTCTCTGGAAAGAAAGATGGCGGCCACATGGGAGCCTTGTGTACAGCAGGTATGAGCCGGGAGTGTGGGGGCGACTAAAACCTCATGGGAAGGGGGGCGTTTCGGTCTGCCCTTCATGCCCTACCGAGGCCACCAGTTGCCCCCACGAGCGGCTCTCCAGCACGGCCACAGCCCCAGAAGCACAATGACCTAATGCAGAACCCAGCAGCTTGGAGCAGAAAAGTGAAAGGACTATGCGTTAATCCAGGCCATCATGTCTGTCCGGAGGGGAAAGGGTGTTTGTCCCTTCCGCCCTCCTCCCTCTGGAAAGAAAGATGGCGGCCGTATGGGAGCCTTGTGGACAGCAGGTATGAGCCGGGGGTGTGGGGGCGACTAAAACCTCATGGGAAGGGGGGCGTTCTGGTCCGTCCTTCACCCCCTACCGAGGTCACCAGTTGCCCCCTGCGAGCGGCTCTCCAGCATGGCCACGGCCCCAGAAGCACAAGGACTTAATGCAGAACCCAGCAGCTTGGAGCAGAAAAGTGAATGGACTATGCATTGATCCAGGCCATCAAGTCTGCCGGAGGGGAAAGGGTGTTGCCCCATTCGCCCTCTCCTCTCTGGAAAGAAAGATGGCGGCCACATGGGAGCCTTGTGGACAGCAGGTATAAGCCGGGAGTGTGGGGGCGACTAAAACCCCAGGGGAAGGGGGGCGTTTCGCTCCGCCCTTCACGCCCTACCGAGGCCACCGGTTGCCCCCCGCGAGCGGCTCTCCAGCACGGCCAGAACTCCAGAACACAGAAACCAATCTCTTAACTATCTGACTTTCAGTAGAAATACTTCCAGGGTCAATAGGTAAAAGAGCAGAAATCCAAAACCAACATTTAATTCTTGAACCCAGCCGTAGAAAGCAAATCACTTCACAATGCTTTTTCAGCATGTCTGATTTGGGGGGGGGGAGTAAACTCTAAATAATAGTGGTGAATCTTTTATTGAAACAATGAATCTAATCAAAGCAGATAGAGTGTTAACTAGAATGCATCTGCCTCACAGGGACGGGGAGGGGTGGGGGGTGGGGTTTTATTGGGGTTCTTCATGGTAAAAATAAGTATTGGTAAAGGGAAATGTGTTTGATATTTGCATGACTGAGACATAAACCTGAAAGCTTTGTAACCTTTCCCACAGTGATTCAATAAATAAATAAATAAAATTAAAAAAAAAAAAAAAAAAAAAAAAAAAAAGACACAGGCATCCTTCGAACTGAGAGGCATCACATCACCTAGCTGGCTCAGAGGATGTCTCGGGAGCCCAGAGAGTCACAGACAACTTTCCTTCTTTATAGTTTGAGTTTAATCTGCCTTGTTTTTCTGAAACCCTCCCAAAGAAGCAGAGCGTGGCTGCACAATGATACCATGCCGTGATCCAGCCGTCACCAGCCGAGGCTTTCCTCTTCTGCAGTGCAAAGGGGAGCAGCCCTCACTGGGCTCCCCAGAGGTAGAGATTGATCCTACCCGAAAGACAGAACCAGCACACACTCTAAGTGACAGGAAATATAAGAGTTAGTCATCTAGACATCACGCGGAGAACCATCACAGGGCCTCAGCTGCTAGAGCCTGCAGACAGACTGACAGCCCAGGAGGAACACAGAAAATCAGATGCAAAAGAAGCCCACTAAGCTCAAGGAGCGAAAACAAGAGCACAAAAGGCTCACCTAGTACCTGACAGCTCAGCAAGTCCGTGGACGATGACTTAAGACAAAGGTTGTAACAAGCAACATAAAGCAAACTGTTTCATGCCGCTAATGGGGCAGGCTGGCAGGGTGGAGGGGGAGCAACCTGAGACACTGTTGAAGGGAATGTCACACTGGAAGTGGGATTAGCACTGGGATATTGAACACCTGACGTGACTGCACTGTGAACAACTTTGTAAATCATGTTTAAATAAAGTTTCAAACAGAAAAATAAGTAAAACAACTCTTCTTTAAAATTTTACCTGGGGGGCATGGTGCCGCCAGCAGGTCAATCTGTACCTGTGAGGCGAGTGCATCAGCAGCCTGATGGCGCCTTCAGACTTCCAGATACCCCCAAATTGCTGCTGCGCCTTTGGCCAGACCTCAAAACTTGGGGCAAAGTTTACCAAGAAAGTAAACGGCCAAAAGTTAGGTATGTGGGAGACACACCCACAAACCACCTCCGGCTCAGCTATATAATCGGAGGCATGGCCTCTCTGGTTCCTGATTGAACTGCTTAATGGCCATGATCCCAGAGACTCAGAAACAAATCTCGAAACCCAGCAGCTTTTGGCAGAAATGCGTCCAGTCCCTGCAGTAGGTTACCAGCGCCAGGCCACCCCAGGTGGGAATAGGTTTCGTGTCTTGGCCTGTTCCCCCTGCCGGCCCGGTGGCCACCATCCTCCGGAGGCCACTGGACAGTCAGGTTTGGGCCTGCAGTGACGAGACACGCAGGGCCTCGCCAGAGGGGGGTAGAACTGGCCCTTTCTTCCCCATCCCAGTGAGACCTCAAGTCGCCGCCTACAAACAGCCTCTCTGGATCATGATCAAGCTGATTAATGGCCCTAATCCCAGAGACTCAGAAACAAATCTCGAAAGCCAGTGGCTTTTGGAAGAATTGTGTCCGGACCCTGCAGTAGGTTACTGTTGCCGGGCCACCCCAGGAGGGAAAGGGTGCTGTCCCTCCGCCTGCTCCTCCTTGGCGGCTTAGTGGCCCCCATCCACCAAAGGCCATTGGACAGTCAGGTTTGGGCCCGCAGTGACGAGACACGTGGGGCCTCACAAGATGGGGGTGGAGCCGACCCTTTCCTCCCCGCCCCAACGAGACCCCAAGTTGCTGCCCATGAACGGCCTCTCTGGCTCCTGATCAGGCTGCTTAACGGCCATGATCCCAGAGACTCAGGAACAAATCTCGGAACCCAGCAGGTTTTGGCAGAAATCCCTCCAGATTTAATTGTTAAAATTTCAGAATTTCAAAATTGTGTGGCTACTACTGCAGCCACACGACATCATATGTTATTCATAACCTGCAACAGAAAATAAATTGTCTACTGTTGCCTTTTTGGCAGATCCGAGTATTGGAGTAAAATCCCAAATAATAATGATGGGTCTGATGTCAAAATGTTGAATGTAATCAAAGTAGAGAGAGAGTAATGTGGAAATCATCTGTCCCACAGGTAGGCGGAGGGTGTGGGATGGAGGTATACTGGGGTTTTTGGTGGTGGAGAATGGGCACTTGGTGAAGGTATGGGTGTTTCATTGTATGACCGAGACTTAGACCTGAAAGCTTTGTAACTGCTCTCATGGTGATTCAATAAATAAAATTATAAAAAATGAAAAAAAAAAAAAGTAAGGTGGAGTTCATGCCCAATTCAATCAGCCTAATCAGTGGCTGAATAAAATAGCAGTACTCCTACATTAATAAAAAAAATAATAAACAAATTAAAAAAATAAAATCTTACCTGCACTGGTCCATGTTCTTCCTTTCTGCCGTGTATTTGGTAATGTATACTTATGAAAAAAAATTTAAGGTTAAAAAATCAGCACTGAAATTGACATTTATGTATACTTAAAAAATCATGCTGTTCTGCACTAATACACAAAAATATTCAGAAGTAAGTTGTGAATCATTCCCAGATCATTATAGAGGTTACATTACTAGAGATAAAAAATTTTATAAGGAAAGTCAAACTGTACATATAACAGCATAGATATGATCATTTAACGCGTCTTAATAATTTAATTATACTGATAATAGCCAAACAAAAACTCAAGCTTGAAGGACATGTAGAACTTACCCTTGGAATAACAGTGTCAATGATGACCCACTTAAATATCTATTGTGAAATTCATGTAAACCTACTTGGTTTCTAGATCATCAATGCACAGTTTAGATGGTCTACGGGGAGGTGACATTGGAAGTTCTAAATCCTGCTTTCTGACGGGCATTTTTATGTCCTTATTCATATTCACATGAATTGGTTTTCTCACAGTTTCTACAATAAAAAATTGTCATTTAAAAATAAGAAATGATAAACTCTCAAGGGCATTTTTATCTACCATGCTCATTAGAATTCTTAGAAGTTACGTTTACTAGAAACAGTTATATTCTTTGCTTGCTAGAAGAAATTGTCAGAATACTAACCAACAGAAATCATACACTTCTCGCGGAAGCCGCTCTGCAAACCCTGTTTTTCTTTCTCCCCCTCCCAGGAGCCCTGACCCCCAGACCTTCCGAGGTCCCCCATCGCTGCCCCCTTCCCCACTCCACGTGCCGCCACAGCGCTTCCGCCCTGTGCCACCACCTGGAAAGCGGGAGAGGGACTGCTCAAAACATAAAAACTGAACTGGTGTTTGATCTGGCAATCTCATGCCGGGGTTTGTCGCCAAAGGAAACAGAAATGGGGTCTCAGAGGAGCATCTGAACCCTCTGTCCCGTGCAGTGTCATTCACAGTGGGCCAGAGAGGACAGTCCATGTGCCCCCAACAGAGGAGACGTGCAATACAGGACCTTGGCCTCTGACGCCAGAAGAAAGAAGAAACCCATCCATGGAACAGCACGAGGGAGCCTGCAGGCGTTAGGCTAAGGGGCAATAATTCCTGCCCAGGGGCTGGTCCCAGTGCCACCAGACCTACACCCAGAAACATTCAAGGATGTATGTAGTGCCTGGAACTGAACTCAGGATCTCGCATATGCAAGGCAGATGCTCTACCGCTTAAGCCAAATCCCGTGCCCCTGGTATGTTTCAAAAAGTCAAACAGCAGGGCCGTAGAGACGGGGCAGGAGAGAAGGCACTTAACTTGCCTTAAAGCAGTCGAGCCAGGGTCAATCCCCAGCACTGGTTCCCGGCATGCTGCTCGGGGTCATGGCCAGAGCACAGAGCCAGCAACAGCCCTTTCATACCACACGTTGTGGCTCAAAAACAATAAAAGCTGACTCCCCCCCCCCCAAAAGAAGAATTTATGGGCCAGAGAGACAGCACAGGGGTTAAGGACTTGTCTTGCATATAGTAGACCCTATTCGATCCTTGGTGCCACATACAGTCTGCCAAGCACTACTGGGAGTGATCCCTAAGCACAGAGCCAGGAGCAAGCCCTGAGCACCAACAGGTGGGCCAACCCTCTCCCCCACTCCAAATAAAAGTAAACGGCAGGCACAGTTTCCCTTTGAGGGAGAGAAAAACACAGATTAAACTTATAGATCAAAAGGAATGTATTCGGCGGGAGCGGCGGGGACCTCATGGGAAGGGGGGCTTTGTGGGCCGTCCCCCACGCCCCACCGAGGTCGCCGGCTGCCCCCCACGAGTGGCTCTCCGGCACGGCCACGGCCCCAGAGGCACAAGGACTTAGCACAGAGAACCAGCCGCTTGGAGCAGAAAAGCAAATGGACAATGTGTTAAACAGCGCCACCAAGCCTGCCCGGAGGGGAAAGGGTGTTGACCGGCCCGCCCGCTCCTCTCTGGAAAGAAAGATGGCGGCCGCACAGGCACAGAAACCAATCTCTTAATTATCTAACTTTTAATAGAAATTCTTCCAGGGTCAATAAGTAAAATAGCAGAAATTCAAAACCGCGCGGCCGCCGCGCGACATCATTTTATCCTTAAACCAAGTTGTAGAAAGCAAATCATTTCACAATGCTGTTTCAGCATGTCTGATTGTGGGGGGTGGGTCGTAAACTCTAAACAATGATTGTGCATCTTCTGTCGAAACAATCTATCTGGTCAAAGTAGATGGAGTGTTGGCTGGAGCTCATCTGCCTCACAGGAATTGGGAGGGGTGGGGGGAGGTGGGGGTCTATTGGGGTTCGGGGTTAGGGATGGGTGTTGGTAAAGGGAAATGTGTTTGATGTCTGCATGACTGGGACCTAGGCCCGAGGGCTCTGTAGCTTTTCCCACGGTGATTCAATAAATAAATAAATTATAAAAAAAAAAAAAAAGGAATGTATTTTGAAATGTTGAATTACTCAAGTTAACATTCAGGGGATAACAAAGAAATTATTCACATTATTTACCTTTTTCTTTCAAATTCTCTAAACATTGTAAGATGGTAAAGATACTCCCTCAGTTAAATTTTGGTAAAAATCTGCCTAGGTAGAATAATGTGAAAACTGGAAGGAACTAAATCATGAGACATTTAACTACAGCTTATAAAACCAGCTGCATATGCCACAAAACCTATAAAGTTAAATTACACACATGAAGCAAAAAATGATTTTAGCAATAATCAGGCTTCTCATTTAAGAGAGCAATCGAAATAGTTTACTTTCCATGTCCTTAGAGCTCTTACATCATGGAATTAGACACCTAAATGTTAGGCTCACATCAGAGTTAGACAAATAGTAACAGAATGACTACTCACCAGGCATCTTCCTCTGGCGAGATATCTGATTTACCATGTACAGGTTAAGTAGGTCCAAACTGACCGCAGAATTTTTGACAGGGGACAAGACTCCCAGCAATTTCATTTTTGATTTGAGTCTTTTCTTTTCAAAATATTCCTAAAGTAACATTTGAAAATCATAAGAACTGTGTCAGAATCATGGTCTGAATCATTAATAATTTAAAATTCAGTTGTGCTGTTAAATATTTGACCTAATTTTTTTTTCTGGTTTTTGGGCCACACCTGGCAGTGCACAGGGTTATTTCTGGTTCTGCAACCAGGAATCACTCCTGGAAGTGCTCAGGGGACCCTATGGGATGCCAGGGATCAAACCTGGGTCAACTGTATGCAAGGCAAATGCCCTCCCCCACTGTACTGTTAATACAGCCCCTTCACTTTTAAAGTATCTTGGGGATCTTATAAGTTCACATATACTAAATTTAACCACGATTTTGGTAATCTGAAGAGTCACAATTTCACAGTCTTATAATCAGTCTTTTGTCAAAACATTATGTCTGTAATAAAAGTCATGCAATTTGTTGCAGTGTGGAGGGATCTGGAGAGCGTGATGCTGAGTGGAATCAGGCAGAGGGCAAGGAAAATACTCAGAATGATCTCTGGATGTGTGGGATACAAAGAAACTTTCCAGGAGAATATCCAATGCTCAGTGGCAGTAGAAACGAAGAGCAGAACTGGTCTTCAGTTCTTGAAAGTGGGGCAGGGTAGGGGTAAGTCAGGAAGGGAACTCTAGGATGAGGAGGAGGGGGAGTGTGCCTGCACAGAGGTAGGCTGCGGGGTGGGAGAGAAACTGGGGACACTGGTGGAGGGTGGTGGGCACTGGTGAAGGAACTGGTGTTGGAATAATATACTCCTGAAACTCAATCAAAAATATCGTTCTAACTTTGTAATTCACAGTGATTTTAAAAAATCAAGTAAATTTTAAAAATGTAATAATGCCTTCAGAATACAACTTTACAAAACCATTCCTAAGTACCAAAAGATTAAAGCTTATGTGCAGACAGTTTAAAAATCTGAAAATAAATCTGACAGGTTATAAAGTGTGCTGAGACGGCCTGACCTGTGCTCTCTCTTGCTCTCTTGAACATGTATCTTTATCTCAGTGTGCTTCTTACTTGAACTTTCAAGCTCCTGCTCTTTCTTCAACACTCCTTTCCTTCTCACCTCCTCCCACCTTTCTAAGTATGTTTTCATTCAAAAAAGCCGGCTCACTTCACACACACACACACACACAGAGCAAGCTAAGGCTACAGCCATAAAACACTGCAGAGATCAGACAACTGAGTGTTCTTTAAAGACCAATTGAGATGAGAGGGTTAGTGAGAAAAGGAAAATGAACTCCCTTTGTTAAAGCTTCCGAGCTATTTCTAAAACCAGACTTAGACAGCCATTACTTTAAATCCAGGACTCGTGTCATCTTTATCTTCAGATCACACCCTTAATTTACCAAGCTCAAAGTCTCCTATTGGGTTGACTTGCGAGGGACACACTGCAGGCTCAAGAACTGCTCCCGACAGTACCTATCAGACACTGCAAGCCTGATGGTTTGGTTCTTGGGCCTAGGAATGCAGCGCTGAGGCCACCCAGATAGTGCTGGGGGTCCACGCAGGCTACCCCCAACAATGCTTGGAGGGCCAAAGGATGCTAGGGTTGAGGTCAAACTCAGGTCAATGCCTGTGCTCAAACCTTTTGAGCTATCTCCCAGGTGCTAAAAAGTTTATTGAGAAACTATGTGTGGAAACATGTTCTGCTCTATTAAATAACTTGTAACAGACTGTCATCGGCATGGCTGTTAAATGTGAGATATCAAAAGTGAGAAAAGCCCAAGGAGGCAAAACAGTGAAATGTCAGAGTAAGCATCATCTTGGAAACTGTTACAATCCTTTCACCTGAGTGTTTCAGAATGGTACCAATAATAAACACTCTTGGGGCAGAGAGTTTGTACAGTGGGCAAGGCACTTGCCGTGGACTTGAGTTCATTCCCTGGCACCACATATGGCCCCTGGAGCACCACCAGGAGTGAGCCCCGAGAACTGTCCTCCCGTTGTTCATTGATTTTGCTCGAGCGGGCCCAGTAACGTGCCCATTTTGAGGCTTGTTGTTACTGTGTTTGGCATATCGAATACATCACGGGTAGCTTGCCAGGCTTTGCCGTGCGGGCGAGTACTCTCAGTAGCTTGCCGGGCTCTCCGAGAGGGGTGGAGGAATCGAATTCAGGTCGGCCATGTTGGCCGCTTGCCAGGCAAACGCCCTACCCGCTGTGCTATCGCTCCAGCCCAAATCACTTCACTTAATCACTTAACTTCCCGTTAGTCGTCGATTTGCTCGAGCGGGCGCCAGTAACGTCTCCATTTGTCCCTGTCGCGTGCTAGTGTAGCCCAATGGCATCTGTTCGCTCCGGGAACATGAAGGGCCTCAAACCGATCGTTCATGATCTTGACGAAGAAGTCGGACCATCTGGTAGGTGGGCGGCCACGCGGTCTTTTGACATCCCGTGGAATCCAGTCGGTAACAGCTCTAGTCCAACGGTCGTCTTTAAATCTCATTACGTGACCAGCCCATCTGATTTTCGACACCTTGGCAAATGAGACAGCGTCCCTGATCCTTGATCGTCGACGGATGTCAGAACTCCGGATTCTTTCTCTCATTTGAGTGAAACGTGATATTCCAAGCATAGCTCTTTCAAAATAAAATGACAAATTTTACAAACTAACAAAATTGAGAGAACTCAAAGAGATGAGCAGGGCCTCTGACCATCTCGATGAAGTACGCTCCCACATTGAGCAAAGGTGGGGAACTGGTTTGCCTGAGAGGGTGACTCGAGCTTTCTTTCAGTTCTCATTCAGAAGAAACTTGCAGGCAGTGCTTTGGAAGAACCACGCGCAGAGGGGTCTCAGGAAGTAAGGCCGTACTTGTTCCGAGTCCACACGGAGGAGAGCCCCTTCCCTACAGTCCAGCGACAGGAGAGGCAGGGGCAGAAGAACCAAGAGGGCGTAGTGACCTCCAACAGGAGAAAACCCGCATCTCACACTCTCAACAGGAAACTCAAGGGCTGGAAGAGGCTCAAGACACCTATGCAGGGTCAAGGAGGCATTTCCACAGTGGACCCAACGTGGCTCTTCCACAAAGGGTCACTTCCTGTGAAAACAAAGGTCAATCGAGGTCCTGGCACAGGAAAGTGGATGAGGACTCCAGAGACAGAGAAGAGCTCTCTCGTCCCTATGCCCTGTCCCTTCCTGTACCTGCGATTCCTTGTCTAGAAGAATGCGGTTTGGGGTCGTCACCCAGATCTGAGTTTCTCATGAACAATTCCCCCTGTGCTGAGAAACTCATCCCCTAACAGAGGGGAGATGGAATCACCCTCTCCTGTTACGCGCTCCCCCCTTTTCTCAGGATATACCCCGGGTCTTCCCCATTTTACTTCAGAGGTGGCAGCCAGCTCAATTCATGTAGTTTATTATTAAACTTGTTTCCCTTTGCTAAAGCATTCACTGTCATTTTGACCACTCATACAAAAGAACCCAGAGGGATATGTGATTTTCCCTGGACTCCAACAGGGAGAACAGGAGAACAAGAAGGAATGGATGCAGTGAGATTCCCGAGAAAGCAGCAGACAGAATCTACATCACAGACAGAACTTCCTTAAACAGGAGAAAACCACTCATACAGAGTTCAAGGATCTGGTGAGAGAAACCTGAGGTAAGTCTTATGTGACTGCTTTAGTTCATCTGAAATGACGGTTTGTACGTTTGACGGGACACAAAAAGCATTTTGAGAAGAGATACAGGGAGAAAGAAGAGTAAGATTGGAAAGTGATGTGACCAGAGTCCCACATTTTGGGGGGAAGGGCTTTCTTTACATGTCTCTGCTATATATATGTTTTTAACTTTTTTTATTGAATTGCTGTAAGATAGACCATTACAAAGCTGTTCATGATCGGATCTCAATCACACAGTGTTCCAACACCCATCCCTCCACCAGTGTACATTTCCCAGCACGGGTGTCCCAGGTTCCCTCCCATCACCCCGCATAAATGAATGCAGTCATTCTATATCTGTCCCTTTCCTTCTGACTCATTTCACTCCCCAAGTCCATCCATTTATAGACAAATTTCATGACTTCATCTTTCCTGACAGTTTCATAGTATCCCATTGCATAGATGTGCCATAGTTTCTTTGTCCATTTGTCTGTTCTTGGTCACTCGGGTTGTTTCCAACTATGGAGAATAATGCTGCAATGAACATAAGGAGTGCAGATGGTGTTTCTTCTGTGTGTTTTTGGGCCCCCAAGGTATATTCCCAGAAGTGGTATTGCTGGGTCAAATGGGAGCTCAATGTCTAATGTTTTGAGAAATGTTCATATTGTTCTCCAGAAAGGCTGGACTATGTAAACTCAAAAAAAGACAACATTGGCGGTCTATCTCTCCCACTGCCCGCGTCAGTAGTCTCACGCCAGTTCCCCCACCCCAGGGAGGGTGAAGGAAGAAAACGAGGGCCAGGCTGGTTGGTCTCAGTTGCAGTTTATTCCAATCCCATCTCCATTCTCCTCTGATTCTCCCCCTGCTGCTTCTTCTTTCCCCATGCTACTTCATTCTCCTCCTCGATCCCCCTTCATTCTCCTTCTGGCTCTGGAATCTGGATCCCCTTTCTCCTCCTTCTGGAGTCTGGATCCTGATCCCCTTTCTCCTCCTTCTCTGGAGTCTCGATTCTGATCTCCCAGCCCACTCTTACAGTACAGTTAAATCCCAAAGCATGAGGGGTTGGGGCTTACACATAGGTGTAGTCACAAACAATAGGGGTAAAGTTCTTTCCCTCTGGGAAAGCAGTTTCTAGGACAGATACTCCTCAGCAGGACGACCCACTCTAGAGCAGAATCCTCCAGGTGTGTTTCTCCTCTCCTTGTCCAACAAACATATAAGCATACATAATATAAATCTTTTTTTTTTTTTTTGCTTTTTGGGTCACACCCGACAATGCACAGGGGTTACTCCTGGCTCTGCACTCAGGAGTTACTCCTGGTGGTGCTCAGAGGACCGTATGGGATGCTGGGAATCGAACCCAGGTCGGCCGCCGGGCAAGGCAAATGCCCTACCCACTGTGCTATCTCTCCAGCTCCAATATAAATCATTTTGTATGGCTACAGTAAGAAATACATATAGAATTGCTCTCCTAGGGCCATCTCAATCTCAGACTACAGTGCTCAGGCCAGATAGTCTTTCCTATCCCTAGCAGGGTCCTAGTCTCGTCGTTACTTTTGGATCATGACAGTATTTGTCTATGATCAAGCTCTAAACTTATAGTTAAGAATCGTGGCACTTTGGCCTGGCCCATTTCGATGCCAGGGTAGCTCACCGCTTGCCCTGGGTCCATTCAGTCCTTCGTCAGGACCCTGCTTTTGGGGTGTTAGGAACTAAGGGCAACCGAGAAAGCAGATGTCCGGAAGTGAATAATATTTAAAGCCAATTAAATCCTAAGTTACAAAAGCAGAATATTGTCTTCCTGTATCTATACAAAAAGGACATTGCTTTAAAGTCAACTGTTCAAAAGACATAAGGAGAGGAGAAAGGCAATATTAACTTACAATTCAGTTTCAGTGTCCTAGAAGGATTTGACCTTACAAATTAACAGATTCTGATTAGGGGGGAAAGCTGATTAACTGGTTGGGAAGAGAGCATAGAGAAGTGGTTACAGATAAACAAAGGAATGGGAGTGACTCAGGAGCACTGTGATGGGTGTAACCTGATAAACCTAAACTCCTTGTGGCAAGGGAGAAAGAACAAATCAATTGTTATCCTACACAGCTGAAGTGCCAGCAGTGTTTTTTCTTGTAGAGTTCAGCCAGTGCCTTGTATGCCTTTGATATTAACCCCTTATCAGAAGGGTATTGGGTGAATATCCTTTCCCATTCTGTAGGTTGTCTTTGTTTCCTGGTCCCTGTTTCCTTTGAGGTGCAGAAGCTCAGTCATTCAATGCTGTCTCATTTGTTTATCTCTGCTCCCACTTGCTTGGTCAGTGGCGTTTCATCTTTGAAGATACCTTTAGCTTCAATATCATGAAGGGTTTTGCCAACCTTTTCTTCAATGTACCTTATGGATTCTGATCTGATGCTGAGTTACTTGATCCATTTTGATCTGACTTTTGTGCATGGTGTTAGGCAGAGGTCTGAACCCATTTTTTTGCATGTAGCTGTTCAGTTTTGCCAGAACCACTTGTTAAAGAGACTTTCCTTGCTCTACTTTATATTTCTTGCTCCCTAATCAAAGATGAGATGATCATACATTTGAGGATGTGTATAAGGATACTCAATCCTATTCCTTGTTGTGTGGATCTGTCTTTGTTCCAATACCATGTTGTTTTAATTATTACCACTTTGTAGTACAGTTTGAGGTTGGGGAAGGTGATGCCTCCCATCTTTTTTCCCCCAATAACTGCTTCGGGCCGGAGCCATAGCACAATAGGTAAGGCCTTGCACATGGCTGACCCGGGTTCAATACTCAACATCCCATATATTCCCCATCAAGCACCACTTGGAGTGATTTCTGAGTGCAGGGCCAAGAGTATATATAAAAGGCCCTCCCGTTGATCGTCGATTTGCTCGAGCGGGCCCAGTAACGTCTCCATTGGAGACTTTGTTGTTACTGTGTTTGGCATATCGAATACGTCACGGGGAGCTTGCCAGGCTCTGAAGAGCATATATACTTTTAAAAAATGATCCAAAAATAGCTAAAACAAATCTTGGAACAGACCACATCTAGTTTTTCTCTAAGTACTAATGTCACTGCTAGATGTAATTCTAGGCATAAGATATACAGAATGAATAAAATTAAAGGTGCAAATATATCCCTCTTCTCACGAATATATTGATAAAAGAATAAATAAAAGCACAGGAAAATTATTAAAAGAATGGAGAAGATACTTTTACCTGAGACTCAACTGAATAATCCCAAATCCAGACAAAGCGCAAAGAGAAGCTTAAAAGAAATGGATGTGGTTGGAATGACAAATGGTGAGGTAGGGAGTTGTCAGAGAAGCAAGTTGAGCACAGACTGTTCAAGGTCTTGTAGGCTAGACTTTATTATAAATGGGGAAAACGAAACTTTTAAACGTGAAGATAATAAACTCGTGCTTTTAAAATGCCATGCCGACTGCTACATGGCAGACTAAAAGAGAGTCAAGACAGAATATATAAAATGATCAATTACATTAAAATTAACTTTTCAGAAGACAGCATTAAGTAAAAATGAGAATCACTGAGCACACATGTAGCTGAGAAATAATCACAAAGGAACCAGACCCAGTGAGAAAAAGCCAAGCCAACTAAAACACAGGGCAGCGTGTGGGAAGAACAGCGCAGTAGGAGGAAGCCGGGAGAGAGCCAGCCAGTGTCACTGGCAGAACCAAGAAGGACGCGCACTCAGCCCGCTCTCAGCTTCCAGACGGCCACTCTTTGCTCTGCTCTCTCTCAGACTACCTTGAAGCATGGGCCTCTGTACTGGAACTTGTGAATGGACTTGTGTCAGGGGACTTCTGTGAAATGGGGAGGAAATGTGACAACCTCGAGGAGGACTCGACCTCTCTCCTCTAGATCCATCCTGGGAAGTGCCTGGAGGGCCAGGGCTGTAAAAGTCTGCTTTGACACAGACCTCGCATCTCCCCCAGCTCTGCCTGACAGCTGGCAAACTGCCCCTGAGTTCCTCTTGATCTACATGGCCTGGGCACTCATCCCTGCCAGCCGCTTGCTCTGGATGCTTGGGATTCAGGCTGAAGTAAGGAGCTGCTCTTTCCGGGAAAAGAAAAACCAGTCTGAGCCTCTCCAGTTCCTTCTCCTCTGCTCTGGTGCCTCCCCTCACAGAAAAGAACCAAGACGGAGAGAAACAAATTTACCTGGGAAATGAGAGGAGATAAAGCGAGAACACGGGCTTGTCAAGAGTGGAGAGAGTCAACACACATCGCAAGCAAAGCTGCCGGCATATCCCCAAGAAGGAGAATGTGCCAGGAGTATACTTCCTACGCAGAGATGTGGGCAACCATAGCCGGCCCCAAACAGGGAAATGAACGATTTTATCCCTGCGGAGTCGTCATTTTTACAGTTTTCCCAAACCGCCACCCAAAGTCTGTGGCTAGGGTTGTAACCAAGGTGGCGCATTTACAATTGATGAATCACCTTGGCATGGCCTTTGTTCCAGTGCGGGAGTCTCTGGGGGTCCAGAGGTTGTCCGGGTGCTGTCCGAGCTGCTGCTTCACTCCCATGTCTCTGAGGCTCATCTTTGTAACGTGCACACTGTAGGTACCAGGAGCTGCCGTGCTGGGTGGGACCGGCCACTGTTCGGCAATGCTCACAAGTGCAGCCCTGTGGACCGTCTCCACCTCACCTCCCTCCACAATGATCCAAGAAAGCCTACTATGTCTCGAAGGACAAGGGAAAATCCGCCAGGGTATACAGGCCATACCACTATGAGGTATGTGTGTGCTGAGTTCTGCCTTGTGACAAAATGAAACCGAGAAAGAGGAAGAAGTACTCACACAGCCATGACAGGGTTTCTTACACTTTTTCTCCATAAGACTTCCTTTCATCCAAGAAACTCATCAAGGTGGAGTGCTGACAGATATCTGGATTCATTAAACAGTGGATTCTGAATGAATTTTTTGCCACTGAGCGTTCAGAAACCTTTTACATTGCCCAATTCTTCACAACCACCACATTCAACTGCCTGCCCCCCAATATGATGCTGTGACCCAGTGTAAGAAGCAAGGGTCTGGGCAACAGATGACAATGAGATGATCTGAACAAGATACTAAGACTACAGCCAGTGAGACATGACCCAGACTTGAAATGTATTTTTGAAAGTACCGAAACAACAAAGTAGCAATGATCCTAAGCTCCTGGCTGAGAAATGTGACTAATCAGACTATTACAAGGACAGAGAGAAAGGAAAACTGGCCCCAGGCTCACTCAGGAGTGCACTCTCCTCAGAAAAGGCTTCAGAAGGGCACCATCCAAGTAGGCTCACGCTCGGCTATTTTTTCTTTACCTTCTGTTTTCTCCTCTCCTGTTTGATGAGGATCCTGGACCTAAAAAGAAAAGCAGAATAAAAAATGAATAATTAAACTAAGAAATGGTCTTGTCCTAACACCCAAGGACAGTAGAAACAAGGACCAGGACAAATGGCCCACAACTGGAAGCCTGCCTCAAATGCTAGGGGAGAGGGCAGCTGGGGTAGAGAAGGGACTATAATGACAACGATGGTTGGAAGCGATCACTCCGGATGGGAGATGTGTGCTGAAAGGGGCCAAAGGGCCAAACATGACGGCCTCTCAGTATCTGTACTGCAAATCATAACACTCAAAAGCAGAGGCGGGGGAGAGAAAGGGAGAAAGAGAGAGAGAGAGAGAGAGAGAGAGAGAGAGAGAGAGAGAGATGCCTGCCATAGAGGTAGGCTGGGGGTGGGGGAGGTTAGCAGGAGGGACACTGGGTATATTGGTAGTGGGAAATGTGCACTGGTGGAGGGATGGGTGTTCAAACATTGTATGACTGAAACCAAATCACCAAAGCTTTGTAACTGTATCTCATAGTGATTCAAAACAAAAAAAAAAAAAATTGAAGAAGAAAAACAACAGAAAGAAATGGTCTTGTTTTACTGCCACTTGAGCTGAGCTAAAGATTTGGAGTTAAATTCTTAGAATGTAGCAATAAATATATTATCTTCTGAAAAGAGAACTAATAATTTTCTTTTGGAGGGGGCACACATGGCTGTGCTCAGGGCTTACTCCTGGCTCTGCATTCAGGGATCAGGGTACCATATGGGGTTCAGGGTAAACAACCCGGGTTGGCCGCACACAAGGGCAAGCGCCCTACCCTCTGATTCTTGATAATTTTCTTAAAATTACTTGTTGTACATAAATTTTTACAAAACTTCCTTATAAAATCCAGTAATACAAAAGACTGTCTGTAATAAATAAGCATAAAATACATAACATAAACACACAATTACAGAAATACCCCAATTTTTTAAGAGCCCTGGTTCTCATTATGCTGTCACAAGAAAAGGAAAAATCGACCCTATCTCTGCTCGGGGTCCAGGTCTTACCTTTTCATCATATGAGAGATTTTCAGGAGACAATGAAGCTGAATGGTCTGACTATGGAATTGTTTGAGAGGAGAGAGAACCCCATAAAGAAAAAACGTAAAACCCAAGTTGAGAAGTATGGCCCACTCAGGCAAAAGTGCACAGAGATACCTATGACCCCAGGAAGGAGCGCCACAGAATGAGAAGCTACACAGGAATCACGGTGTCTACGTTTCATCCCACTAAAGCTCTCAAATTCTTTCATCTCCAACAAGTGCTCTGTGATTTCCCATTTTACTGATCACTATTTCAATTCAAAGAACAAGGCAAGGGTATCAAAGTCTGAACAGAATATGTTCCCATTCCCTAGCTACAGTTCAATCAAATACATCACCTCAGAAATCTGACCAGATGCGTCAAGGCCGCATCCTTCTAGAAGCACAAAGGACAATGCAGGGTTTTCATTGCCAGAAAAAAGGTAGGACAGTGATTAGCAAAAAAATAAATAAATAAAAAAAATTTAAAAAATAATAATGTGGAGGGGGGGGCCAGGATTATTTCAGGGAAAAGCACAAGATTTACTAAAGGAAAGGGGTGGAGATCTTCAAGTAAACACATCGCTGGTACCACACAGTGATCTGCAAAGAATTGGCTTAGACTTCACTCTGGGGAGATGTGGAAAGCGCAAGGAGATTAGGCATTGCATCTGGGTGGGGTCACAGCATGAACGACTCCATGTGGGGTCTTCCCACACACGCCTATGTTGAGTGTTATAAATAAATGAAGTACACTGGATCCCCCTCCCTCCAGCTTCTACAGACCGAGATGGCTGTGCCTTCACCAAAACGCATTGATCAGAAAATACTCCAAACACAGAGGCTGCATATGCTCGGCTGCCAAAATGTGCACAGGGACACGTTACAGAGGTCATGCCAATGAACTTGGCTGATGAATCAAAGCTGACTTCCTCAGTTCCATGAGACAGTGAGGTCTAATACACACTCCTGAGTTGCTCTGCTCTGCAAACTGATGGAATGATGCGCGGGGAGTGGAGTGGACGCAGTAGAGAGTGCCCTGCCCCCAAGTGCCAGCAATAGTCAAAGTCAGCCACAAGCACCTGCACACCAGGGATCAGCGAGGCAGACATCAAACTGCACCTATGGTCTACCTGATCTATGCAACACAGGAAGTGGTACAGACCCCTGAGTGTTCAGGAGCCTGTGGCCTCACTGTCCTTTGCCAGCAAAGGAAAGGCAGTCCTGACCTTTGGCCCAGGTTCCCTGGTTCCAGGATGAGACAAGTAGGGATGTAAAATATTTTATTTAGGAAATTTGGGAAGAGAGAGAAAAGGTAACACGTTCAATGGAGCTTCACTCTGGCTTCTCCTAAGGGGAGAGTGCCTACATGACTTTTGGGACGGGGTTGAGGATATACATGAAGAGTCTCCGTATAGCAAAGGCTGGAGTCTCTGCGTAAGGAAGAGTTGGCAGAGGGGAGAGCTCTGAACTGTGGTGGTCTTCTTTTGTTCTTGCAGTTCCACTGCTGCTGAGGGGTCTCCTCTCCTGGGGGGTCAGCTTGCTCTGGGAAGACACTAGTGCCATTCAGAATCTCACAGACTCACTCCAGCTTCTCCAAAGTGGAGGACCAGTTTCTCAGTGTTGGTCTCATGACAGTCTCTGATAACAGTCTCTCGGTCTTGGTCTTCCCCTTGGGTCATACCTTGGTTTTATTGCTTAAAGCTCAAGGCCACGGGTTCTACCTGCCTTCCTCACAAATATGGAAGTTAGGTAGAATTGTTCTTTTTGCCCAAAGATAGACCAAGACTGCAATATGAAGCAAATGCCTGACTCCCCACTTTCCTGACACACCAAATATATAGTGAAACTTGAGCAAAATATGGCATATGAATAAAGCACCTAGCCAAATTCTCCCAAAAGCAACGGGGACATGGGTGTGTATAAGAATTCAAACTTGGGGGCTGGAGTGACAGCACAGTGGGTAGGGTGTTTGCCTTGCACGTGGCCAACCCAGGTTTGATTCCCAGGATCCCATATGGTCCCCCAAGCACCGCCAGGAGTAATCCCTGAGAGCAGAGCCAGGAGTAACCCCTGTGCATTGCCGGGTGTGACCCAAAAAGCAAAAAAAAAAAAAAGTATTCAAATTCAAATTTTTCTAGCTAGGAGGTACCTGGGTCCCTAACATGCTAGCTTATACACTGCTCTAGTCTCCAGCAAGGCTTCAGCTTGTTCTGGTAGCTAGTTAAGTCAGATCTGAACACACTGGTTTCTAGAGCGGCGCCAGAGCAGTAAGACTCCCTTGCGCCTTGGTTCCATGAAACACACTCCACCTTGCCTACAGGCCTAGAAAAGTAAAGTGAGGCCTCTGTGCTAAGGGTAAACTGGAGTCCACTGCCCTACCTTTAGGCTTTGGAGCAAGGACAGCTGCCCTTCCTAACATTAACCTCCAGCCTAGATGTGATCAACATGGGTCGTCTCCTACTTAAGATGGTCGTGTCAAAACTGGGACAAGCAGTTTGTTGTTGCCGCTGTTGTTGTTTCACCTAATGAGAAGAAACCTATAAAAAAAGTCAAGGAACAAAAGAAACAGAGGCATATTTCCCAAGCAAAAGACCAAGGTATACTTCCGGAAACACATCTTCATGAAACAGATGTAAATAACTTCAACGTAGAGTCATAAAGTCAAGAAGTCATAAAGATACCAAGGTTGGCAGAGAAAATCATAAACAAGGCAAGAATTTTAATAAAAATAGAATATTTTAAAAGTGCCAACAGAAATCAGAGCTGAGCAATACAATATTTAAACTAAAACAAATCAATAGAAAAGTTCAACAATAGACCAGATCAATTGGAAGAATCAATGAACTCAAAAAAAGGGTAGTACAATTCATCCAGAGGACAAAAAGAATGGAAAACAAGAGAACTTTAGGTACTCAAAGGGAAATCACAAGCATTTCTTTCCGTATAACACAGACACCCCTGAGGAAGAGAGAAAGGGGAAGAGCACAGAGGCACAGAAATAAGGTTAAAAACCTGGGAAAAAAGTAGCCCTTAGTTCCAAATGCCCACTGAGTACCAATATCAGAGGAACCCAGAAACTAACATCAATACGCATAATTAAGCTACTAAAATTTAGGCCTCAAGAGATGGTTCCAAGGCTGGAATACATGCTCTGTGGAACAGAGGCTGGGTTCTATCCCCAGCACTGTAACCGGAGGACCATGCCTGGAGTAGACACCAAACACTGCTGGGTGTAAAACAAAAACAATCAATAAAAATGTTTATCATGTTAAAAAAAAAAAAGCAGATAATCTAAAAACAGCCAAGGGGATCGGACAGATAGAACAATGCGTGGGCCGCTTGCCTTGGACAGAGACGCCTTGGTTTGATCCCAAGCATAAGGTCCCCAACCGACAGTAAAACCACATGTCATATACAAGGGAATCCACATACAAATTTAAACACAGTTTTCAGTAAAAACTTACATACCTGAAGTGAGTGATAATGTATATTCAAAGGAATGAACAAAAAAAAAGTTTAATAAAAACCCACCCAACAAAGTTATCCTTCGAATATGAATGCTAGTTTTCTGACAAACAAAACCTGAGCAAGTTTATCATCACTAGACTAGTTTTCCCAGAAACAGTAAAACAGCTCTTCAAACTGAAATAAAGGGACACAATTAGTAACATAAGAAACATAAGAAAAATGAAAAACTCACCGGTAAAAGTAAAGACAGTAAGTATATTTAATACTTATATATTTAACTTATATAAATATATACAAAAGTAAAATATATTTGAATTTTAAGGGATTAAGAATTAAGAATCATTAAAAGAAAAACATAAGAAAAGTGAAAAATTCATTGGTAAAAGTAAAGACAGAGTTAAGGTTATAATATTCTAATGCAATCTTTCCCAAAGTGGGTGTTCCTGCCCACGAGGGGGCCTTGGGTGCAATTGGAAGGTGCTCTCTGTTCACTTCCAGAAGGCAATTTCCAGGGGGACACTGAGGAAATCCTTTTCTGAAAAGGGGCAGCAGGCCAAGTTAAGTTTAGGTTAGAAATCTCTGGATGTAATGGTGGCAGATAAATGACTAGCACCTCTGGTAGAAAGTTTAAAAGATTAGTAAAAATAACAACAATCTTTGGATAATAAATTCAAAATAAAAACTATGCAAAGGATTTAAAAAGCAAAATGTAGGAGAGATTTAATACTGAATTTGAAGTTATTATCAGCTTAAAACAGACCGGAATATACATTTATGTGGAAGATGTTTTATGTAAACCTTAAGGTAACCACAAAGTACAAACCTGCAATAGATACAAAAAAGAGAAAGAGAAAAAAATTGAATAAGTAACCCCCTGCAGAAAATCATCAAGTCAAGGAGAAGAAGAAAGTTAACATCAGAGAAATAAAACTAGAAAACACGTTAGAAAATTAGCTAAATTCTCCAATCAAAATAAATGAAGTGACTGATTGTATTTTTAAAAAATAATCCAAAAATGTTGCCTACAAGAAACTCACAACATGTATAAGAACACTCAGGTTGAAAGAGAAGTCAAAATAAAGGAATCACGTCACAGTTTTATCACATGAAAAGATTAAACCCAAGATTGTAACAAAAGCTAAAGAAGAATATTACATTATGATGAAGAGGTAATTTATCAAGTCTACAACAAGCAAAAATATCTGTATTTATCTGAAGCAGCATCACCTAAGTATAGAAAGCAAACGTAAAAGGCTGACTGAACAGTGATAAAGTAATAGCAAGGAAGTTCAGTACTATACTTTCAACAAGATAATTGCTGTTTATGTTCTGATATATAAGCAGAAAATACATATCTGGTAACAATGTATATTTAAAACCATCGACATTTCCTAATTTTTTTTTATTTTTTTTTTTATTTATTTATTGAATCACTGTGGGAAAGGTTACAAAGCTTTCAGGTTTATGTCTCAGTCATGCAAATATCAAACACATTTCCCTTTACCAATACTTATTTTTTCCCA